AAGTAGTTCGGCTGCTCATCCACTATTGGTCCAGACTCTATCAATCTTCTCGCGAAACGACGTTATAGGAGGTACGTTATACGAAAGTTTCTACAATTTTTTCGCTACGTTATAGGAATTGTCGTTATAGGAACGTACGTTATAGGGGGGGGTCGACTGTAATCATCTTATTCTTAAATAAACTTAGAGTTATTGGACAATCAAATCTACGAGATTATCTATACGCATCTTTTTATTTGGAATTAATTATTCATGCTGTATAAATTTCACTGTAAAGTTTGAGTTGTATGTCAACACTTTCATCTCCAATAGTGACAAATTATTAATGTTTTGACCAATTTCATTCCAAAGTTGATAAAAATGACCAAGAGAAAACTAAAGATTTTGTTGATAGCAGAAAAGTATCTGTCATAATGACTGTGGAGGAATGCAAAACCAGAGAATCAAAAATTGCAAAAGAATTTGACATTTCATTGAGCCCATTCTAAACATAACTAGAGGATTTTGGAAAGCATCAATAAGTAAAATAAAACAAAAGAAAAAAGAGTAAATGTGAGTATCCAGATGCTAAAAAGTACTTTAAAAAGTGATGAAACACAAAGTATTTAAATCTGAATGTACTGTTCGTATTGCAATATTTATGACCTCATTAAAATAATGGTAGTTTCTGTAACTTGAAAGTTTTCCCTCTGTCCCTTCCACTTTGACTTTATTGAGTGTACAGTATTTATTTATTTACTTATCTTTCTTATTACAATTTGGACTGGTACCATCCATTGTCAGCCATAAAATAAATGTATAAAGACATTAAATTCAAACAAAATATAAAGTGTGGTAAATTGTTTACTTAATGCTAAAAAATGCTATAATGATCTTTTAGCAACTCTAGTGATAAATATTTGAATTTAATATAATATATTAATGAAGAAACTGAATTAATGTAGAATTAAGGCAAGGAAAGCTTTATCCATGAGAATTGTTAAACATACTTTTCAAAAACAGAAATGTAAGAATTTGTAAATTTTTGGATTTATATGTGCATTCTGCAGGCAACAAACTCACCAGTGGCCAAGTGGATAAAACCACCAAAGACAGGTAGTTGGTGATGGGTTTGTACCTTGCCAACTGGCTGACCACCTGGAGTCTTCTGGGTTTTCTTCACATTTGTAACATCTAAATAGGGACCAGTTTCCCATATATAGCACTCTTGGGAGGCATCCCCCTTGACAGACTGTGCCGTGCTGACATATACAAAAAACCAAACTGCATGCAAGTTCTTATATAATCTAAATATAACCTGTGAAACTAAAAATGCTTGAATAAACAATTTTGCTGAATAAAGACATAGCTTTTTTGTTTCAATATTTGTTTTTCATACTTATCATCCAATCATCATGTTTAGCAAGCTTGCTTGTCTGTCGCAATCAATATGTTAATTTAAAAATTCAAATAAATGCAATATTAAATGCATCTTATGAACCTTATTGAGATTTATAAACATTCATATAAAAATTAGGGTTTTCTAATTTACAGATTATCATAAAACCCAATTATCATCATACAGAATTCTCAAATTTTTATACTATCTACTCCTACAGAGAATTTTTTTTTTTACTACTTATTTTATCCCTTAATTTTAATTCTAATCAAACTCTAACATTTAAACCATTTTAATTAATTAAAATAATATTGTAATTAAAATTTTATGTTGCAAAATCCTACCTCTTCTACTGAAGAACTCTCATCGGATTTTGGATGCAATCCAAATTCAATACTTGTAGCCATATTTCTCAACAGGCGGCGTTGCAAGCTGTTAAAACTGCCAGAACAATTTAAACTAGAACTAACACTATTTGGAGAAATAGGTGATAAACTATGACAACTTCTGGTACTTCCAGTAGATTGCAGAGAGTCTATGTTAAATTTTATAAAAATGATTACATTCAGCATTTATTATCTAATTTATTTATTTTGTTGAAATATACAAATTAAAATATGCATTAATAATACAACTTAAATAATATCAAAAACACAAAAATATCTCTGTAAAGTCTTCACATGTTTAAACTTGTATTATAAAACCAATTTTAAAACAGAAGAAAAATTTATGTTTATAATGATTGAAAAATAATTTAAATTAATCTGATTTAAAGACAAAAAGATCAAACAAAAATACAATATTGCAGAAAATTTACAGAATAATGCAACATTAACTAATACATTAAGGAACAATTTCAAACTCTAAAATTTCTTGTGATAAACTGTATTGATGTTTACATTTTTATTTGAAGGTTTGTAAGATACAAGAATTGAATAACATTTACAAAAATAAATATTTTGAATTAGCTTCTCAAATTAATGAATTTTTGATCAACTACTTTATGAAGAACTGCAATATTAATGTGTAATATCCTTGATAAGCAAAACTCTACCTGCCTGCGAGTGACCTCGCAGGCACGTAGAGTTTGGCTTATAGAGGATATTAAACATTAATGATTTTTGTTCTGCACAACTTTATTATCTAAAGGGATAAACATCCACACTGAACTAAATAAAAATTTTCTCCAAAATGTAATATTTTTTCCAGTTCAAACACATTTTTTAGTGTACTAAGAAGTCAATTTTTCTGCTCTACCTGATCATATATTTCTTTGAAATTTTAAAAAAATTTTTGTACAAAATATTTAATTTCATTAATAAATAAAAGCGTATTTGTTTAATGAATGATGTAATAAATCACTCAGAGAAATGATTTTATAAAATATCTTACAGCTTTACTTTTTAGCTTATTTTTCTACATTAATCAATTTTTTATTGTATCAATAATATATAACATTAAATTTAAATTAAATAAGTTTCTTTAAAAGGCAATTAGTGATGTTCTATGAAATTCTTATAATTAAATTATCAGTATTACATTACTTACTTGAAATATATCTACCGCCATAGTGATTATAATGATTAGAAAGAGAAAGACCTCCGGGAACGTCTACGGGAATACTGTGGGCTAATTATATTAAAAAAGTTTTAGAAGATCAATTGCATTTTAAACACAATTTTTGACTAAAATTATACTTACCAACAGAAGAAACATCAGAACATTTCGAAATTTGTATCTCGTTAGATGAATGATGCCAGCTGCCTGATTCTTCTAATTCTTTTTCCCTAATTATAAAAGTTCAACATTAATTAAATAAAAATATTTTGGTTTTAAAATGTGCTGACTCCATGAAAACAAATAAAACCATACAACTGTTAAAGTGAGTCAAGTAAAAATATTTTATATACAAAAAAATTATCTTAAGTTCAGTATGAACAACATTTAACTTTGTCAGTAAATAAAAAAATATTCTCATGTTTATGGTATCAAGGATCATCATCCTTAATACCATAAACATGAGAATATTTCCATGGCGACAAATTTACAAATTTAAGCATTTAATTTAAAAATGATAATGCATGATGATTTAGACTCATGTTTAATCAAAATACAATAGAGCATCGATTATACGAATGCCGATCAACCAAAACATCAGTTAACAGAAAGTGTTCCAGTCGGACTGTGTCATGCTGAATTGAACGTTTTTGATACTAGATTAACTTCTAAAGTATAATTTTTTTGTTTTTATATTTTTAAATATTTTTATTTTGTTTGTACAAAATAAAGAAATAATTTTTAATGATACAATAGCCACAATTATTATTATAAAAATTTTCATTAGGCTTAACATCGAAGAAAATTCAACGTGAATTGACACACAATGGATAAAATTTAAACATGGGATATATTAATATACTATTATTGGGAAATACTAATATACAATATTAATAATGTATTTTTTCATACATAATCGGTTATCTGAAAAATCAATTTTCCAAACAACCCCAGTCCCCAATTGATTCAAATAATCTATGCTCTATTGTATATACATTATTATTAGATACAACAGCCAACATTACACATTACACACACACTTGTTTACTAATAAATATTTGGTTATATGTTAAATGTATGTTTAAAACAACATTAGACACATAATTATGTCAAAATATTTATAAATGCAGCTAGTACTTTTAACAAAGTTCATATTACTGAAATAAATTGTTTTTCTGGTATTTTCAAATGAAACGTCTTTTTAATTTTCATTTATGCTGTTTGTAAACTTCTTTTATTCATTAAATAAATCCATATCCTCTAATAATTTCCTTATTTGAATAATAAAATAATACAGTAATTTGATTTTGCATTTTTATTTTATGTAATATTTTCTAACATTACATATAATCAAGTAACGAACACCTTACTCTTTGCCAAGGGAGTTTATTAAAAACTAACGTTTTCGATCTACTCCATAGATCATCCTCAGGTTGAAACATTCGAATTTGGAATAACAAAAATAGAACGCCAAATTCAAATTCAAAGAGATAAAACCGACAACGTAGCAACTAATTAAAATAAAAATTAAAGCGTAAAAATACATAAATGTAAAATAAATAACATACAACTACTAAATAATATTATAAGCCACTATTTGTTAACCAATAAAAATCATTAAGGGATCCTATACACTTTGTTGATATACTGATGTTTCTTACCACCAATTCGCATAGAAGACTCGATATAAACAGGGGAGTTCCTATGGGAAGCCCAATATCGGGTCTTCTATGCGAATTGGTGGTAAGAAAAATAGAGGAAAAGGTTGTGCATAGCTTCAGAAATGATATTGTTTACTTCAAGAGATATGTGGACGATATCTTTATACTATGGGAAAAGTAATCGAGGAATCAGTAATTTTATAGAAAGAATCAATGATAACAAAGACGGCCTAAACCTGAAGCTAGAGCAGAAAAGTTCTGTAATGATACATTTCTTGGATATTAATATCACCTTTAAGAAAGGGCATTTATCTACTAATGTGTATACCAAACCAACACATAGTCCACTCTACATTCCTGCGCAGTCCAGTGATCCATTTCGTTATAAATTAGCAGCTTTTCGTGCCTTAGTTAGAAGGGCTTTTCTATATTGCGATAACATTATGGACAGAAACAAAGAAATGAAAAGGATTATGCAGATAGCAGAAACTTTGGGTTACAGAAGGAACATAATCGCTGGCATTATTAGAAAATTCGAGATAGGCGATACAAGAGCCTCTAAACAAGGGCCTAGTAAATACACAAAGTATACATTCAACAAAAATGTAAGAACCGTCATGGAGATTGCGGACAATAAAGCATCAACGTTGATCGTAAAACGAGCTCCGAATCTATACAAGATCCTAAGAAATGATAAAGGATATTAAGAAGGAAGATAAAGCAGGAGTGTATAGGATCCCGTACAAGAACCAGCAGTTAGGAATAGACAAGGATTACATAGGAGTAACAACGAGAAACCTAGGAATAAGGGTCAAAGAGCATAAATACGATATTAGAAAAAGATCTAACACAACAGTTCTGGCCCAGATGGCTCAGGCCGAAGGATCCATAGTTAGGTGGGAGGATGCAGAAATCATCAGAGAAGTGCACTCCCCAACTTTAGCGAGAACTGCCGAAAAGATGGAAATATATAGGAGCAAGTTAGATGAAAAATGCATAAACGCCAGGGATGCGGAGGGCCTACCCTCAGCATGGAAGTACGCCATTAAAAAACTTACAAGTAGCTGTTGAATTGCTCCATATCCGCAATCGCAATATGCGAACCTTAATGATTTTTATTGGTTAACAAATAGTGACTTATAATATTATTTAGTAGTTGTATGTTATTTATTTTACATTTATGTATTTTTACGCTTTAATTTTTATTTTAATTAGTTGCTACGTTGTCGGTTTTATCTCTTTGAATTTGAATTTGGCGTTCTATTTTTGTTATTCCAAATTCGAATNCAAATAGTGACTTATAATATTATTTAGTAGTTGTATGTTATTTATTTTACATTTATGTATTTTTACGCTTTAATTTTTATTTTAATTAGTTGCTACGTTGTCGGTTTTATCTCTTTGAATTTGAATTTGGCGTTCTATTTTTGTTATTCCAAATTCGAATGTTTCAACCTGAGGATGATCTATGGAGTAGATCGAAAACGTTAGTTTTTAATAAACTCCCTTGGCAAAGAATAAGGTGTTCGTTACTTGATTAATTATTTTGCCGAGTACATTTCTGTTCAATATTACATATAATAACTATAGTACAAAATCTTAAGATTTGAAGTTTTTAATGATTCAAGTACTGTTTCAAGTTCGTGCTCCAAAATATTTTGTGGGTACACATTTTCCTATTTGATATTTTTGATTTATTAATTATACTTTTTGCTTGTGTTATTAATAAAATTAGGAATATTTAAGAATTCAATATTTGTCTGAATTCATTTAAATCAATAAAAACAATCTATAAATATTTTTATGAAGCATAATGTTTATTAGTTAATTACCTATTACTTCTATTTTCATTAGGAACTGGAGCAGGGAATACAAGACTAATGATCAAATGCGGTGGTGACCTGTAAAAATAATAAATTCGTGTTCAAAATTTTTTTGTTATTACTATTTGACTTGAAAAAGTGAGTATTTTCAGATTTGTCTTAAAATTTATTAATATAAATTGTCTTCCCTTGAATAAATTTTATTAAATAAATTTCTAATCAACTTGAATAATGTTTTTTTACCTGACTGTGTGAATTTTCATAGTCGTTCCAGAGTAAGTCATACCCACAGAACCAAAAACCATTTCTTCCAGCATATGAAGATCAATATCACGTTTAACAATCTAAAAGATAAAAGGAAGAGAGCTATTAATGTGAGAAATTTCAGAATGAGAAAAGATAAATATCAACTCATTTATACAAATGCATAAAAGGAAGTTTGTATTTTCACAGGCACTGGTACAATATTTGTGAAAATGTACTGGTACATTTTCACAAATATTTATATAATGATATTTGTTTGTATAAATTGAAAACACAGTTTATTAAATCTTTTCTTCATAAAATATCAGTCTAATACTGTAACTAAAATAAATTTTTAATTTCAAGAGCATGAAATAAACAAAATACACCCATTGCTGTAAAAATGAGTGCACCAAGAAGTCATATTGCTGTGAAACTTGATATGGAGATAAGTCTAAAGCAGATATGGAAATGATTAGAGTTAAAATGTGATGGCTATTTGTATAATGCCAGCAGAGGGCCTTAAATTGTATCCCCTTGGCCTATAAGTACACAGAGGCATTCTGTCTGTAGTTTACCTGTTGCAGAGGGATGCTGTATCACAAGAGATACCTTTATATCCCAATTGAAGAACATATGAATAACTAACTGAATTTGAGAGAGAGAAGGATCATTGGTTGGTTGAAAAAAGCTGGATGGTTATCTCACCACAGTCCGCATTCTAACAACACTGAGGTGTTGAGACCAGTGGACTAGAGTGCTCACACACACGGCACTCAGGCTCAAGAGGTCCACGACAGACCACTAACCTAAGAAGACCGCTGCTCTTCCAAGAAGCACACATACAGCTGACTGTATTGTTGCCTGCCATCTGAACACAGGTGACATGGCACGATCAGTACAGGTACTGTACACGTCTGTACCATTTTGAGGTGCCTGGATGAGAAACATTTGATATCATGGCAGCCATTACATATGCTGCCATTGCTACCACCCACTGTTGTCTCCATTTGGAGTGGTGTTTGAACAACATGATTGAATCACAACAGAATGGAACTGGGTCATCTACAGCAGTGATCTCCAAACTTTTTCGATCTTATATCCCTAAGATGAAAATAATTATAAGTTGTACTGTACCCCTATAATATAATAAAATTTGCTAAATTTCTATTATAAATACATAATTCCTGCTAAATTTCCCACTACTTGCAATTTAAATTTTTTCTGTGTATGATCACAAATGATTGTGAACCTACTTCTTCGGGAAAATTACTAAGATTAGACAGACTGCAGACAAGACATACAGTATTTTGAAGGGAAACTTGGCCTATCCCCAAGTATCACTTTGTGTACCCCACTTTGGAGACCACTGATCTACAGCAATAAATCCAGATTCAGTTTGGGCACTGACAACAGCCATGTTCATGCCTGGAGGCCCTGTAGTAAATGCCTCAATCCTGCCTAGACTTTGTAGGGGGAGCAGCACACCACCCCTACAGCTGGCATGATGGTCTGGAGTGCCATCATACAACAGCCAGTCAACTCTAGTAGTGATCCAAGGACCATGACAGCCCAGAGATATATTAGTGACATTGTGCATTCACACGTGTTGCCTCTTGTGGCAGGACTTCAAAGAGCCATTTTCCAACAGGACAATGCTCGACCACACACAGCAAGAGTGTCACAAAACTGTCTCTGTCACATTTGTCACACTTCCCTGCCTGTCCGGTCCCGATTTGTCATCGATTGAACATGTCTGGGATGATCTGGAATGCAAAGTTGGACAACCTGGAAGTTTGGCAGGACTAGAGGATCACTTGCAGCAACTGTAAGTATTACCATTACACTCATACATGTACAATTATGTTCACTCATACATGTACAATTATGTTCAACAACTCCTTCTTGGAGCACTAATTTTTATCTCTGAGTGCAATTGAAAAAACTTTACATCATAATCATAAATAGGATTTGTTACAATGATATAAATGTTTAAAATTTTCATATAAAGCTCAGAACTCTCACTACTAAAATATCTAAATTCAATTTAAATCTTATTTAATTCCATACTTTTCTTTGCATCACAAGTATAATAGATTATGAATACAATTAATTCAGTTTCATATAATAAAAGTTGCTGAATCACTATTAATACATTTATCGAAAAGTTTCCTATGCAGAATACCATGTCATGGTCTTTATTAAATCTAACAGCATGGAATTATATATATAAATATAAAATTATATGATTATATAACCTAAGTTTATATAATTCCAATGCCAAACAGAAAATTAACAGAGCATTCAGACTGCCTTTATATAGTTTTCAATAACCAACACATTCCAATTTTCATAAAAATTGACAGGCAAATTAGATTTAGCAATAAGAAGTTTGTATTAAGTTAAGAAAATTTTTATATTTTTTTGATTTAAAGTTTGTAAAATAAAATTAAAATTGTTCTATGTAATTTATGGATTACTGAAATTGAAAATTTTCAAGGTTTTAAAAATATTTTAATGACAAAATAAACATTTTTCTAATTTAATTTAAATATGAAATCCACAGGGTTTTAATTGTTTTTACTTCTTTTAATTTAGGTTTTTGAACTTAATTCAATCAAATTTGTTTAAATTAAATTACTGATGATTAATATGCTTATTTAGTTTTGAGAAAGAACAATGCAATATTTCATAATGTTCATTAAAAATTAAATCTGGGTTATTATTGTACAATTCTAATAATTATTTTAGCTATTTTGATCATTTTCTTGGCCAGCAAATCAAAAATAAACTTAATATATAGATATTACACTATTATTACAAACAATATTAAAACTGATACAACATTCTTACTTAATATCACATGATGCTGTTATGATAATGTGATCACATGATACTGCAATATCATCATCAGCTGATACTGATTAATCTATATATAAATTTCAGTTTCTGTTATGAAGAAGAAACATTAAAAAATTTAGGAAACAAGAAACATTTTCATTTTCATTCATCAATTACAAATTTTCGGAAAAAAATGCCACATCAATACTTTTAGCGTAATCTCGACACACCTATTTCAAGTTAATCACAAGAAATGTAAATTTGAAATTTCCAATAGTTTCAAGGGCCTACTACACACAATGAAACCAAATTTAGTCGGGATTAGATTAAAAGAGAGATGCTTAAAAAACATTATATAAGAAAAATTATAATTTAACTATTGTTTTGGAACTGTTTTCAATATAAATGCCTTAAATACCCATCAAGCATTATATCATGTTAACTGTAAATTTAAAAAAATTTAAATTCTTGCACAACGTTAAATTTTCTTTCAGTAATTTGGCTGATCAGTTTGCTTTATAAATTGTTTTTTGTTACCATATGTATAAAATCTTTTTCGTATAAGTTATTAATAAATTAAAAAATAAAAGTATCCTTTAACAAGTAATACTTAAAATTTATACTTACTTCATCATTGGGTATTTTTAATGAATTCCTTTTTGGTTTTTCAACTTCTTTATTTACATTTTCTAAACTGCACGAAGAATGAGACCTTTTCTTTCTCTTTGAAGAAATGGAATTAATCTCCTTATTTTCCTTATCCCTTAACGATTTCGAATCAAACAATATTTTTCTTCCGTTTGAATCGGTCTCTTGAAATAAGATAACTCTTACTTGCTTCTCGCTGTTGAAGGGAGGGGATTTCCAACTAAAATAGTATAATTCTTTTATTAATCTCAACTAAAATCTAAATACAATAATAAACAGTAATGTGTGTGATCAAATATTATTATTATAAGTCTTCTCAATATAATTTATATATTTAATAATTATAATAAAATAAAATTTGTAATTTATTATAACAAATTGTGAGCAAATTATATTTCTAAATGAAACTAGTTAAAAAAAATATTTTATTATTTTTATTTATTCAATTTTTACAGTTATTGCTTACCAACATTTGATACTATGATAAACTGCTAAACCTTTTTTGCATTACTTATTTTAAAAATATCACACTTAAATATAATTTTCATAAACAAATTAATATGTTTATATATATATATATATATACACTAATTCAAAAACTATATGTGTACACACATACAATTTTTGAATTAGTGTGTACACATACAAACATACACAAATTCAAAAAATATTAAACAAAGGTAGCAATTTCCAAATTTCTATTCAAAATTTTTTCTTTTGACTTAATAACTTCAAAAAGAAAGAAAATTCATTCAATATTTTTTTCTTTCTTGAAACAAACATATTGAATGGAAATTGTCCAAACAAACTGCAAGTAAAAAAATGAAACACAAGCTTGTAGAATCACAATCAGAAAATATATTTTAACTTTCTTTTCTGTTCTTTCTATTAGTTATTTAGCTACGATAATGCTTAACAAATTCTTTCTAATCTGCTCTATTTGTTATAACCAAATAATTTAGTTCAGTTACAAAACTGTTTTCGATGTTTTCGATTATTTTTCCATCTTAATTTCCAGTAGCATTAAACCTCCCCTTGTGCTTTTATGCAGAATATTTTAGTGTTCGGTTCTAAGATCCTCTTAACGTGAGCAAATTTTATTTGTTAGTTCCATTTCTCAATTCCCATCTGTCAACATTCTCTCTATCCCAAATTTTTCCTTATTCTTTATTTGTTCTATTGTTCAATATGAAATAGTTCAGTATATATATAATTTCAGATAATTTTCATTAGCATTTGTATTTAACTGATTACATCTTGTTTCACAACTTTTCTATTTCCACATCAACATTCTGTTTTTTTGCTTCCAGCTTCTTTAAATTTATTGTTTTATCAAAAAATATTTTGTCTTAATTTTTAATCACAATCATTATTAGCTGAAATTTGCATTCAAAACTGGTTTGTTTATACAGTAGAATTCTCCCATTTTGTTTTACTTGGCATAATTTCTGAATTTATTTGAAAAAACAGCTAGTTAGAAAAACTTTGTCTTTATTTTTAATATATTTTGTAATATATATATATTTTAATTTAGGTTTTTGAACTTAATTCAATCAAATTTGTTTAAATTAAATTACTGATGATTAATATGCTTATTTAGTTTTGAGAAAGAACAATGCAATATTTCATAATGTTCATTAAAAATTAAATCTGGGTTATTATTGTACAATTCTAATAATTATTTTAGCTATTTTGATCATTTTCTTGGCCAGCAAATCAAAAATAAACTTAATATATAGATATTACACTATTATTACAAACAATATTAAAACTGATACAACATTCTTACTTAATATCACATGATGCTGTTATGATAATGTGATCACATGATACTGCAATATCATCATCAGCTGATACTGATTAATCTATATATAAATTTCAGTTTCTGTTATGAAGAAGAAACATTAAAAAATTTAGGAAACAAGAAACATTTTCATTTTCATTCATCAATTACAAATTTTCGGAAAAAAATGCCACATCAATACTTTTAGCGTAATCTCGACACACCTATTTCAAGTTAATCACAAGAAATGTAAATTTGAAATTTCCAATAGTTTCAAGGGCCTACTACACACAATGAAACCAAATTTAGTCGGGATTAGATTAAAAGAGAGATGCTTAAAAAACATTATATAAGAAAAATTATAATTTAACTATTGTTTTGGAACTGTTTTCAATATAAATGCCTTAAATACCCATCAAGCATTATATCATGTTAACTGTAAATTTAAAAAAATTTAAATTCTTGCACAACGTTAAATTTTCTTTCAGTAATTTGGCTGATCAGTTTGCTTTATAAATTGTTTTTTGTTACCATATGTATAAAATCTTTTTCGTATAAGTTATTAATAAATTAAAAAATAAAAGTATCCTTTAACAAGTAATACTTAAAATTTATACTTACTTCATCATTGGGTATTTTTAATGAATTCCTTTTTGGTTTTTCAACTTCTTTATTTACATTTTCTAAACTGCACGAAGAATGAGACCTTTTCTTTCTCTTTGAAGAAATGGAATTAATCTCCTTATTTTCCTTATCCCTTAACGATTTCGAATCAAACAATATTTTTCTTCCGTTTGAATCGGTCTCTTGAAATAAGATAACTCTTACTTGCTTCTCGCTGTTGAAGGGAGGGGATTTCCAACTAAAATAGTATAATTCTTTTATTAATCTCAACTAAAATCTAAATACAATAATAAACAGTAATGTGTGTGATCAAATATTATTATTATAAGTCTTCTCAATATAATTTATATATTTAATAATTATAATAAAATAAAATTTGTAATTTATTATAACAAATTGTGAGCAAATTATATTTCTAAATGAAACTAGTTAAAAAAAATATTTTATTATTTTTATTTATTCAATTTTTACAGTTATTGCTTACCAACATTTGATACTATGATAAACTGCTAAACCTTTTTTGCATTACTTATTTTAAAAATATCACACTTAAATATAATTTTCATAAACAAATTAATATGTTTATATATATATATATATATACNAAACTTATACAAGAATATTTATAGACTGTGATTAAATGAAATTAAAAATATATTAAATATTTCTAATAATAAGTGAGAAAATTTGTAAGTAATGGTTTGGTATTTATTATACAGGTTTGAATTATTAATATTTTTATCACACGATATCTAACATTAAATACTTATCATAATTCCATTATCATTTAAATTTTTATCACGGGTTTTTTCCAATAAAAATTCTGTTAAATTTCTGTTTGTGAATTTGATCAATTTCGTAATCAAAATTTATTTTAATTTCTTTCATTTAAATATTAATAAGCAAATATAAAAATTTATATTGTGTAACAATTACTTTTTAACATGAAAATATGCTTTAAAAATTTATTATTGAATACTAAAACTAGCATTAATACATGGAAAAACTGGATAAAATAAAATTAATTAAAATAATTAATGAAATTGTAATTAGTAAAAATTAAAAGATAAAGCAATAACTTAATCTATAATGAAAAATTAATGGATAAAATTTATCTGAAAAGTTACAAATATCTCAAAGTATATTTATTTACTTGATCCACTTTCAACAGAGACCAAGACAAAATTCCTTACGTAATAATCACAGTAACCTTTCTATCAAATAACTTTTTATTAATAATATCAAATGCTATTTAACACGTACAAATAAATTAAATTATAAATGTTTAAAACTTTAAATTGTAATTAGGTTATGTTTAATATTTCTCATATTAATGCAATTTTTTTTTTTGCATAATTTTGCGTAACAAACTTATGCATTTGTCAAAACCGCAAGTAACGATTAAAAAAAAACCCCAATTTATATTTAAAAACTTATATTTAACCGAACGATTCCGAGCTATTTGCCAATGCCGGAGTTACGTCACACTATCTGCCGCAAGTAGATCAAAAATAAAAAAATTAAGATAATTAGCATTTCAAAAGTACACGGTAAAAATAAATTATAAACACGTTCTCATCACATTTTCGTACAGAGGACCTCGGCCAATCGTCGAAGCAAACTCCCGCCACGTAAGTCTGACAGAAGTAGAACGGAAATCGATACGGCAAATTAATAGTTTTGCACTAACGCCATTTCCACGCGGTCTTAAATAACCAATATGAAGCCGGCGAACAAATTCGAACGTCCGGTTCGACGGGGGATTATAAATTCCTTTAAAGTTTAAAGTTTGGATTTTTAAATGCAAGGTTTACACTAGAAAAAAATTATTTTGCCAAAATTGTGGGTTTTGTACCAAATTTAAACAAAAGACTACATTCCAGCGGATAATACGAGATAAGTTTTAAGAATAAACATTTGTCACGAGTTTAAAAGTTGCAGAAATACCAAACACCAAACAAAAACAGGAATTGAATTTTGCAAGAGCCAAAACAAAACAGTCCACTTATAGAATAAGATACATAAATATTAACAGACGATTATACGTATAAAAAAAGAACCTTGACAAAGCAATCTTATATTTTGTCTAGGTAAATGTTGCATACAGATAAAGCATTATTTGATTAGCATTATTATTTATCGTAGAGTGCACTCGACGGCATCCCGTCATATGACATTCGTCACGTGAAATTTCACAACATTCATTATCGTATCCTCTCTCTTCCTCTCTCCGGGCAGCTTTTTATAAATATAATTATAAAGAAAATCGAACACGCTCCACTTAAAACAATCGACATATTTGGGCACGCGCTTACTCCCGTACCCATTAAAGAACGAAAAGAACATCACACACGACGTGACGTCACATTACACACGTCACACTCCTCATTCAAATATTAAACAATGGGAAGAAACATTTAAAAGAATTCGGGGCATCTTCGAGGTGTTACGACAACCTAAAAACAAAGTTTAGCCCTATATAAAGGTAACCTGGAAGGGTATACCGTTAAATATATATCACGTAAGTAAATTAAGAATTTAGGATAACGACCCAATTCGTTTTACGCCTCCGAATTAAGTCTCTTAAAGGGCGTAAATGATAGCAGATGGCGCAAAACACGAGGTAGATCGCGGGTAAATTCGTGACAATTTGGCGCCATAAAGTTAACATCGCGGTAACTATCGCTTTTGTTTAATTAACGCCACATTAAATTAGGTTAGAGTCTGGTTTCGCCAAACGTCAATAAAGCTTCGCAATAACCTAATTTCGTTACGATACAACTTACAATTCGGGGTTTTCCTCTTCCTCCATGGCTTCGTCATGGTAGGTAACGTCGTCTCCCGCTTTATTGGACGACAACACGCGAAGAACAGAGTTAGACGACAGAGCCTGGACGAGCCTTCGCCACAACACGACCACCCTCAACAACATATCACCTCGGATGCCATTACACAATTCCAATAAAAAGCACGACTAAGTATCGAATATTTCCTTCTCCCAGTCCAAACGGCGCTTTGCCACATCACGTCACGTGCATCGAGTAATGTTCAAAATGCTACGGCGCCTGCGCCGACTTCCTACACGAGCTCAACCGTTCACGTGACGGCCGATGACGTCGGCCTCGACGCGCGAACCAAACGAAAATTGAATGACTGACGTAACCGCGTAACTTTCGCTCCCCCTCGCGTTTTTTTTAAATTGTTACTCGTTTTTGTCCAGTTGGAATTTTTTCGGGTTTTTCTTGAAATCGTTCGATGCCGATGGCAAAAGTTTTAAGTAGAAAAATTATTTATGCGAATTATCCGTACAATTAAAATATAAATAATATTTTATTCGCGAATATAAAAATTTAAATCGAAAAATTTACAAAAATAATTTTTTTATTTTATAAAAAAAGCAATTATTTATGTCTGAATTTAACAAAACTTTATTTTGGTTATTACTTTTTATTTTAAAATGGAAAAAAAACTTATAAATTGAGTATAAATTTAAAAAAGTAGACGTATAAATATAATCAGATTCACGTGTACGGCGGATACGGGGCAATATGCCTAACATATGTTTTATCGACAAAGTATTTTAAAAATTATTCGGATATTTATAAAATTTTATAACAATAAATGAATAATCTGGTAGAAATTTAAAAAATATATTAACAAAAACCGTTACGGTTTGAATTTACGAAGGGTGCGAACCCCGGACTTATCGAAGGACGTCGGTTCGTCCTTCGTAAGGTCGAACGCAACGTATTTAAATTCTTCGACCCGTTTTCTTTTTTTATTAATCGATACAATTAATTATTAAGCGAATTATTTACGCTTTTTAAATATAATTTGTCGGCGTAACAAATACGCAAATTCCATTAAACTCTTATTAGTTTACAACGTATAATTGAATTTTTATGATAATTATTTAAAATATAATTAGGATAAGAGATAAAAAAAATAAACACGAAAGTTAAATTACGACAGCTGATAACCTACAAAAATAATAATTAAAATGGTTACAAAAGAGTAAAATGGTTACGCGACCTTTTTTCACGTTTGAAAAATGATTTTCTTAAAAGTTAATTATCATCGGATTTGTTTAACAATTGTTATTTTCGGTTTAAAAATTCATTTTTTTAAATAGAATTACGTCACGGGTGGATGTAAACGAGGTTAAGGTGGATAGAACCCCTCCTTAGAAAGGATGATAAAGTATGTCGGATGCGGAATGCTGGATATAGAACTGTCTGGAATGAGAGGACAGGGCGAAGGAGAACGACTTAGGAGAATGGCCAAGGACAGAATATTATGACGCATACGAGTGAACAGAAAAATCGATTGTAATCTATAAAATTACAGAATAAATTTTCGAGTTTTAAATATCTACTAAGCGGAGTGAAATTTATAAATAATAATAATTATAAAAATAATTATTATTATTTATAAAGTTTTAGGAATAAATTGCCACTAGACAAAATGTTGATTTAATGTGAATATTTTTATCCTCATAAATAGATGAATACGTTAAGTATTTCTTTTATAGACGGACGTGCGCTCCAGGAATTTCGAGATTACAATAAATGGTATTTTTGCAAAAAATTCAATAAAAATTGATATTTATTCCGTGTTTACGCGTTACTTTATCGCGCGAATCCGTTTTGAATTGGTTAATGAGTAATTAAGTTAATTATTTTTCGATTTTTCGAGTTAGTGAATTATATTTACGTGGGAATGAAATCCTTACTCGCATCGAAACTTACACGAAAATAATTGCAGTTGCGTTTAATTAAGGTTTACGCGAGCTTAATACATAATTAATCACGAATGAAAAGAGAAAGTCGTGTTTAAAAATAAAGTAAAAGTGATAAACAGAAAGAGTTAATCTTCATTACCAACTATTGTAATGAGGATTTGTTCTCGATTTAACAATTAAGCTTTGTTGTATCCCATTAATTTATGTTTTCAACATTTAACCTTGCCGATTGTCAATCTTGATTCCGTTTTCTGGGACGTATGAACGTAAATTAACGAAATTATCCAATTACAAAATTAAATTCAATGGAGTTAATCCTCTATAGAAGGGTTGATGAAACCGTGATCCCAATTTCGAGCGATTAATTTTTCTGAATATTTAATATCCTCTTATTAAACGAATACAGTAATACCTTTTTCGTAAGAAAATCTTTCATTTGAATAGAAGAATTTAATCGTAATAGATAAAAACTTGAATCACTTCCGTTAATAAAGGTGTTAACGCGATCGACTTAAAGACGATTTTATACTAATTAATTTGGCTTTTAATGACTACATGAACAGCTATTCGAATTACAAAAAAAATCATTTTAGCGAAGAAATAAATACCGAGCTACACCCTCAGAAATGTTGCCGACGAACCAATTCGAATATTATATACACGATTTAATTCTTCGAAACATGTTATATATTCAGAATTTTAATAACTTAATATGTTCGACCGATTTCTTTTTGTACGTAAGAGCTTACAGTTTGTCTCCCACCTCAAGAAGACAATTAAATAATTCAAATCTAGATACAGCGTTTTCCCAATTAGAGATAATGAGTATTTGCGAGCTTTCCCCTTAAAATTATTAAAACACGGAACCCTTCGATATCTGCGAATTAAACTTACAAGATACTTCTTCGGTTTAGCGCCACACCCGATTTAGTTCCAGTTTCGGAAGCGGCGGGGAGGGGAAATGGCAGCCATAAAGTTTTGATTACTTTCTTTTCTTACAATGATCCTATTTCTGATTATTTTTTATATCGAATAACTATCAAATCGTGGTCTAAATTATACAAAAATGGTCTTCGGTGCCCTTTTAAGATTTTTATTTTTTCCATCTTTTGTAACGGTAATTAACGTTTATACACTCTATATTCTATTGTCTATAGCCTATATTAAAATACGTGTTGTTATCGTATTGTATCGATATACGCGCTGTTACGTAAACTACTGTTAGTTTTATGCGTTCGTCACAAAAACGGAAATGTATTTAGCTGTATTTTATTACGAGTCAAATTATATTGTATCTGTAAAATATAATAAAATATACACGACTTGTATGTACGGTAGGCGAGTATCGTTTTTATATGCAAAGATATTAAATTTCAGTGGGGTGTGCATCCTTTGTGACACGTGAAAAAATAACTCGGGGTTATATCCTTTACGAAATTAATTTTCCATAAAATTACTTATTATATACAGTACAATTAATTAACTATTTCAATACAAAAATAGACTACTTTTTGTAAACGAAATCAACAAATGAAATTTGTCGATTCACTTATCTATAAACTGTAATTTGTTATAACGAATTTAAAAATTGTGACTCAATTGATAAAACATTTAAGGTATTAGTCGACATTTTTGAGGTTCGATAATTATAAAAAAAAAACGTTTATTTACCGACGTTATCATAAAAATCATGAGATTATTATCGTTGATTTATCATTCATCTTATCCGAACTCAGCCCAATTCGCATGACTGTTATAAATGTGACATCATGTTATTGTTCCTTATCCATAAAATAAAATCGTGACCTCCCCTAACGATGGCGTATCTTCTCGTGACATTCTAAATTGATTTAATCCGCAAATTTGTTACGTCTTTCCAAATCCAGCAAAAATTCATATGACGTTTAGTAATGTCAATGTAATTGTCACCAAATCACTCCAATGTGTCGAAACAATTACGCAGGATCCGTAGTTATAGAAATATTTTTAAAATAATTACTCATAATCGTAATTTGTTTAATTAAGTATTAAATTATTTTAAACGGATATTTATTGCAATTTTCTACTTTCAATTTTATTGTATACGCTAAATTACCGAACGTTCGCCTCTGTAAACACGTTTCAAATATACTCGAGAAGGTAAAATCGTAGCAAAAAATTTCATTTTATAGCTTATCAATTATGGTTTTTTTACACTAATGTTTGCCTTAATGACATTTTTTCGCCTTTCGATTTAGTATAATTTACTTTTAATTACGCAATGCGGCTTTATCATCGGCAATGAGATAAGTTCGTAGGAAAATAATGCTAATATTTACTTATCAAAAGTTACTTCTCTTTATAAAAAGGATAGCTTCTTGTAAATTTAATTGTTCTTTAAATAAGTTTTATACGTTATTGATATTTTTAAAAGTTATCGAGGGTCCCGAATCAATAAATAACTCGTAAAAATGCAAATTTCGACACGTTTTGATCGAAATTCAATGTTAAAAATTAAGAGCATTAAATTTAAATCGAATTAATACTTCTCGGAATCGGAAAACAAATAGAATTTTTGCACGCTCATTGTCATATTTTCTTTCTCGATCGAGACTCGTAAATCTTTATGACGAAATACAATAATTTAATTTAGAAAATACTTTCGTTTCTTTAATTTTTTATAAATGTTTATTCCGAATACGGAATTATCAATCGTCGGACGTTTTATTTACAATTTCTATCTCGATAATAAACGTGTCGTGACTTTCAATTTTAATTAATTAATAAATACAGCATTTTGAAAAAATGTTTGCTAATTAACGGAGGTGTTGACGACATCCGGTCTAATTTCCGGAATTTTTTCGACGATTAAATGTTTGGTAGCGTTGTAGAAGTATTTTGTGTATAAAAGTTTTTACATAGGTGCCTCGAGACGTTACACGCTTCTATATACTGCGAGCAGTCATACTTACTTGTTAGCTGAGACATCTCCATTCCATTATGTTCTGTACAGTATGTTCGTTGCTATATATTTTACTGTTTATCTATCTTTGTATATTTGCTCAATAAGGGAAACTCTGACTTTCTTTCCCTCAAATATTCCTCAGCAATACGGTCGTGTCAACTGATATGTTTTTACCACGCTAATCTTCACTTTCTTAATATTGCATTCATGTTCTTTGTTCTCCAATTTTTTTTTTCCAGATTTTACCAAATATCTGTATTATTTGTCAAAACGTAAAGCATATTAATTCTTTCTTTAAACATAAGAAAAATTATAAAAATCCTCTTCATTTATTATATAAAAGTCTTGTTTATAATTCATTTCATATTTGTTTAGTTAAAATTTTTTACTTTATTTCTAAACCTTTATTCTCTTTTGATATCCATTTTCTTAAAAAATTTTTTTCATTAATTTTCATTTTTCAAAAAATTCCATTAAAAATTCTTTATATCGATAGTTTGAACGATCATACAAAGAAAATGTTTAAAAGATCACAATCATTCTTCTAAAGAATAAAAATGATTGTTTTTTTTTAACTATCCACCCCGAAGGCATCAAAAGGGTTTCTTTCAGAAAGCCCATTATGGGTTTAATCGGGGCACCAATGGGGCGACTTGGTGGCGAAGGTCCGACATATCCGGACGGACAACAACCGAAAAATTTCCGGAAATTTTTCCACCCTCGATTCCCAGAGCGGTAGGCTGCTACCTTAACCGCTCGGCCATCCAACTGTCTATTAGAAACGTGTTAAAGAAAAACGTCGAATTGTTTCAATTTTTTCAACACATTCTGGCGATGCAATAATTTTTCATTGCGAGAATGAGAGCCAGGTAAACTGGATCTCATTTCGAGGAGCTATCCTAATGAATCTGTAAAGACTAAAGAAATATGAGATTGTAAGATCGAAAACAGTGAAAAAATAGCTTAAAATAATGAATTGTTTTATTTATTACCGTGTAATTGCAATATTTTAAAATAATGATAATTTTTTCACGAACATTTCACTATTGCGAGGTATTCTCGAATAAATACATTGCTATAACAAATTATTAATACTTCAAAGTGCGATTTCGAAATTTCCTGATTATTCCCGGACAGTTAGAATTTGAGGCGTAGTTCATTATGCCTATTCGCTTAGAACAAGATACACGTAACCTCGCGATAGCTTTGCGAGACCTTCCTGGCGATAACACCATCGAGGTTACTTTATCTGGCCCGACATTTACGAGAGCCTCAAACATATAAGTGACTCGAACTATTTCTTAACTTCCCAGGAGCTCTTTACATAATTACGTGAAATTATTTTTGACTTATAGGCATTAAACTGGAAATTTAGGTCCAATATAAACTCTAATAGATTAATTAAACCGTTATGTACAGCACTGTACATGAATCTATGAAAACGTATTAGAGTCTATGGATAGAAAATATTTAATGATGTTGAATATAACGAAATTATTGAGTCACATATGATTTTAGCTCATCGACGATCCGAGATTACGGCTTGGTTCAGAATTAATTTGTGATACGTAATTTAATATTTTACACGCGAATTGTTATATCGCGAATCCTCCAAATTCACCATCGTTCCCCCATAGAAATCCTTCACGAAGATTAGCATAAACACTGTAATATCAAAACTAATTTTATAAATTACGATACTTTGACACACTATAAATGCAATATATTATATTAAATTAGAAAGCTTTTTGAATCTCGCGAGTTTAATTCTCATTAGAATTATCTAATCATCAGAAACCGGATAGCTTTGTCAATACAGGTGGATCGTATACCAAGGTAATGAGAATAGATAAAGTACTTCCATACGGAGCCTGTCGTCTCTGCTTACGTTATTGGTTTTACAAATCGAAATTGCCATATTATAGTTCTCACAAGAACGGTTTTAGATACAATTGAGTAACAGAAGCGCTTCGAGTCCACTACAGAATCATTGGCATTTGTGTAAACGATTGTTGAAAGGTGGTGTCGCTACCGATTTTATTGCCGCAAATGATTCTACAAGTGTATTGATCTTTGCACGAATCACACGGATAGAGTAAAACGTCAGGATCTTCGCAAGACGCGATAGATGAACCACGAGGTGACATTTGAAGAATGTGACTTACGAGGTGTTTAAAAAAAGATATACATTTAACTCTTTCCATTCCGTGGGCACCGAGAGGGCCTTTTTAAGGGCCAATTACGAGTTTGGCCGGGTGACGAAGCACGGGGCTCGACCGATGTATATACTTTTTCTCAAATTTAAATATTTAAAATTAGTAAAATAAATTTATTTTTTATGAAATAGAAAAGAAAAATTGTAAATGAGCATAATTCATATAAAAATCAAATTCTACAGTTTATTAAAAAGCATTATATAAAACATTAAAATTACAGTTAAATTAACAGTTATAAAATAATTTTAAAGTTTATTATTATTTTCTTGTCTTTCTATTATCGAAACACTTCCTTAAATAGACAAAAATTACGAGTACAACCACGTGCCGTATTTTCTACTCGATGACGTCAATGACCGGAATCTATCGCCCACCAATAATAGAAAGTTACAACTAGAGGCCTTCCACGTGGTCTCCATTATTAAATTTGTCAATTGGATCCGTATCCGTTCGTTGTTATCGTTTGTATATCTAAGAAAAATGCAAAATTAAGTTAAGTAGGTTTTTTCCCTCAGACGTTTGGGTGAAAATGTGCGTTATTATAAATTTCGTCCATGCAATTCACGGAATATTTATTTCTCGTCCTTATTGCGGGACTGAAAATTTTGATTACATTTTTATAATTTCTAAAATTCATTTTGTGATAACGCTTTGGATGAGTGGCACAAACTTTGAATTGCCATCAGAATTTGTAAAAACAAAATTGGTTTACAAACTTTCGATGTAATTGTAGAGTGTCAAAGGAAGTTTGTAGCTGTGTACAAAGCAAGAAGATTAATTTTGTCTGTTTTTAACCGTTTAGAGCTCGACCCCTAGATCGTCGGAAACGAAGTAGAGAAACTTTTTATTTTGTGCTCGCTCTTTACCAAACATTTTGTAGACTGTCAAACGATGACAAGTAATAAACTGGTAAGGCAAACAATTGAAAAATACAAATTACAAGATCCTAAACTATGTATTGTGATATACAGTAGATAATCAAACTGTATTCAGATATTTAAAATTAATACTAAAATAATACATTAGTAGTAAAGATGATATTTAATAAAGTTATTGTTATACTTTTCATTCTTAATTAGCAATTTATGTGCTGAAAATTATTTATTAAGTACTGGTGTATATATATATATATATATATATATATTTTAACAAATTGTTATTTTATAACATTTCATTATTATCTTGATATAAGTGCAACAGAGGGAAGAATCAGAAGATGCAGAAGTTGACCAAATTGAGAGATAAAGGAATATCCAAATTAAAAAAGGCAGAAACAAAGGAAATTGTAAAAAAGATAGTTGAGGCAGAAATACCAAGAACCTGTTGTATAAATCATTTACAATGTTTACTAAAGCATTTTTGAGGAGTTTTATATAACAAAATTTTTAAGTTGTCATCTGTTTAAACTTTATCTAAAGTAAGTAAAAAAAAGCCATTCATATTTTAATAACAAATTTGATAGTATTAAATAAAATAAGCATTGATAGTATTCAAATAGTGAAATAACTGAACAAACAAATGATAATGGCAGATAATTACTGATGTTATAAAGTTACTGTGTGTTTCATATTTCAATAAGGAAATAGTAAAATTAGAAGTACATTATCTTAAATTTATATTTGAAAAGATTAAAAAAGGATGAACATGCAATAATGTAAATCTTCATGTGTTCAAATAGTGATGAAATTATGTAAAATAAACACATTTATACTGTATATGCTAAAGTATTTTTTTATTTTTATGTAGAAAACAGCTTTATGATCCAATTGTAGGTCTGAGAAGGGACATGGAAAGTTTTCTTGTTTCATTTCTAAAAAGCTTGCATTGGAGAGATAAGAGAGTGTATCTGAATTCCTTTATCTAAGTGTATAGTTCCTGTATGAGAAAATCCATAGTTTAATGTTTAATTTGGTGCCCAGAAGGGGTAACCAAAACATTTGTCACTTAAATGTTATTCACACCTGTTAATTGGTTGTGAGTCATATGTTTTATATATATGTATTAATAAAAAATATACCAAGAAGAAAACAAGATTCAATTAGTTAAATAGTTTCAATAAATGTTAATAATTTAAGGAATAAAATAATTCATTTTTTTAAAGAGTAAAATTAGGGAAAAACAAAGCTTGCTAATGTCTTTTAAAAAATATAAACAAAAATGCTGATATTTTAAAATTATCAAAGATTGTATTTTAAATGAAATGTTTTCAGTTATTTTCAGGATTGAATGGTTTGTTCAATGCTGAAAATAGACAAAAATTAGGCCACAACATTTCTTTTAGGTAGTAATAGTTTGTTTGGTGTGTCAATTTTTGGTAAAACTATAACTACAGTTATATTTACATTCTAATAAAAGATATACACTAACTCAAATTAGCATATTTTTACATAAAATAGAGAAAAAGTAAATTTGACTATTAAAATTATTTTTTATTTTTATAAATTATTGTTAGAAATATAAACAATTCTGAAACAGAACATAACTTTCTTACCTTTTTTATTTTGCATTTTTCCTTTTTAATGTTGGAATGTTCAATTTTGTTGTAAGGAGGAAGTAATCTCACCCTTATAAAATTATAGTAAATAAATCAAATTGTTAGTTTCCAGATTTTAATAGATGTTTATAAATATTCAAAAATGCTTGCTTAATGGTTTGTTTGGTCTTTTCTATAAAGCTACTTAATTTTTACTCAACTTTATATTTTCAGAATTAATTCTATTTGTTGTCAGAATGGGTATTGATAGGAGCTTTTGAGAAAGGAATTGCTACATCTTAAGCAATGGAGTTTTATATTTTTTTCCAAAAAATTGTCTCGAGAAGTCGAAGAGAGGAGATTTAGAAGTGCACGTATAAAGTAAGATATTTATGTTTTAGTTTTATATATGTAGATTTTATAATAAGCAAGTCAATATGTGTAAGAGAAATATTTTATTTGGCACATTTGATGACAATTACAATACATTGACAATTTTTTCAAATAAATTTGACATTTACATAAATAAGCTATTGCACATAATTATTTTAAAACAGTTCTGTTTGCCCAGTTTAAATTTTGATGTTCACCAAAAATACACTGGTATTTTTCACATTTAATTAAAATTATCTTTCATTAAATGTTTTAAATTAATATATTATGATAGTTTAATAAGTGGACAGATCCAGAGGAATGTCATTACTTTTAAAATTTTTGTTTCAAAATCAGAAATTCATAAAAGTAAATTATAAAAATCATTATATGTATTATATTCATTACAAAATTCATCATTTGAAGATAAAACTATAATAACTCCATCAATTTAACATTTATAATAAATATAATTAGTCCATGTTATGTATAACAAAACTCTAGTGCAGTACAGTACAATTAATGATACATGGAGATTTTTCTTATGATCTAAATAAAATTATCATATCTTTAAACTAATTTTTGGAGATGGTCTCCCTTTTCTGAAGTAAATACCACAAAAAAAATCAAATTTTATGTATTAATACTGAATTTATTATATTAATATATTACTGAATGTATCATACTAATTTATGTGTACTGTTGTTAACCATAAATTGAAATCTTTTTTCTATTTTTTTCAGTTATTTAGGATCCTTAATAATACTTAATAATTTACAAAACATTAAAAAAAAATATTCTCAGTTTTAACTCTTCTAAGAAATTGCACATATCAATCATATGATAGAAAAAACAAAATTTATGAAAAGTAATTTTTGTCTTTAAATACATTTATGAAATTTCAGAGAGGACAAATTGAAAATATTCTAACATTATTCAGTTTCAAATAGAAACATAATAGAGTTTTCATAAGTAATTTATATTAATAATATACTTTTTGGAGAAACAAGAAATTATTTTTAATTTTTATTATTTTAATTATTCACCGTCATATTGCAACACTTGTAATTTTTTGGAAGATTTATCAGATTGTAACAAGTGTCAAGCTTTCTTTATGTTTTGATATTTACAGAATAAAACTTTCAAATATTCTTCCTTAATTTAAAAATTGAATTGAAATTTTAAAGTTTAAACTACTTTTAACATATCGAAAATGCCAAAAATTAAAACATTCTAAACTGTTAAAACAGGCTATCAGTTTGTTATTATTTTACATGTATTATACAGAGTTGTCTCAGTTATTTGTTAATTTTAGCATTACAATTCAAAATTTATCATTTTGCAGAAAAATTCTACCTTTGATTATAAGGTGCTCCACAAAAGTATAGAACTGCTCAAAATCTTTTTCTTTTAATGATAGAACATGCACTAATAGATTTTTTTATGCACAATTCAGCACCTAACTTATAAAAATATAATTTTAGGAAACTAATTTGTGGCTAACTGTGGAATAGTGATAAAGTCAATTTAGGTATACTGCCATATAAGTATAGAATTGTCATATTTCTTGCAAGTTTTAAGTGTAAAAGTGTTTTTTTATCATGCTTTGTGGTAACCATTTAACATATTTTGAGAAAGGGCAAATTGTAGCTTTGAGAAGCACTGGTTTAAGTCATCAGGCAGTAGTAAACAGCATCATGTGTTTGAAAAACATAGTTTAGCATTATTTGTCAAATCCTGCAAATTATGAACCAAAGTGTAGAAGTGAACATCCTTCAAAGTTTACCCTATGAGACCACAGATGAATTATTAATGCAGCCTCTAATTCCACTGCATCCACACGTAAAATTTGGGACAATTTGGGTATTCAAGTACAGTAAGACCCTGCTTAATGCTGATTTGATATAATACCATCTGTTTGAAGTCTAAAAAAAAGGCTCAAAATTTACGTTCATTTAAATTATCACAGCATTTCATTGATTCATATATAATATGATTATTTATGAGCACGAACCAATAAGAGAAAGGTATACTTTCTTTAAATCTTGAAAATTTTGGAAAAATATAACATCATGGATGCCATAGGCAATATCAACTTCACTTGGCAAGAATTAACTGATAAATGCACAAACAAAGTGTGGAAGAAGTTATGACAAAGTATCTAAGAATTCTCAACAAGAAGAGCCTATCGCTGTATCATTAGGTTGACCAAATTGTCAACCTAATTGACAATTATTGAGGAGTTACCGTAGGTTTCTGGTGAGAGTTTTACCGACAATGACCTTCAAGAACTGGCAGAACAAGGAATTCACATAGAAATGGAAAATAGAGATTCTGAAAACAAAGAATCCAAAAAATTTCTCTACAGATTTCCTTAGTAAAAGTTTGGTAACGATAACCGAAATCGTTGATAAAATTGTAGTGAATGATCCAGATTTTGAAAGGAGGGCAAAAGCAAAATGAGGCATTTTGGATGAGATCTTCTGCTACTGACATTTGCTTAAGGAAAGAAAAAAGCAACAAATGAAACCTCTTGACTTTATTGCAAAAAAACAAGAATTTCAGAAAAGTCAGGAACTTCGTCATAAAAAATGAACTATATATTTCTGTGTGCATGTTTGTGTGTTATTTAACATATTTTTACAGTGCTGTATCTGGGCAGGTGCAACAGGTGCACCCGCACAGGGCCCACTTGGAAGGGGGCCCAAAATGCATGTATTTGTTTTATTATTTTCCCAAACGTAATTAATTAAGGGTCTCTTGCACAGGGCACTGGAAATGGCTAGTTACGGCACTGTATTTTTATATTACTTTGTATAATAATATAACTTAAAATTAAAGTAAAATTTGTTTATTTTTGGTTGTGTGTTCCTCTATCCCTATTTACTCTATGTTAAAATGACCTCGTTTAACACTGTTTCATTTAGCGCTTTGTCATCTAGGAATACATCCCCCTGCATTAAGCTGGGTCTTACTGTACATCACGAAACTGTTCAAAGGGTTTTACACAGCAAGAACATTGTTCGGTCTCGAATGAGAAGTGACTTATCTCTTAAGCCTGAGCACAAAGCTGCACGACTCGATTTTTCTAGGAAAAATAATGTCACTCAATGGAATAAGGTAAGTTTTTTGTTTCGTTTAGACCTATTGTGCTAGCACAAAAAATAATAACCTTTTCGTCATACACGTATTCTTTTTGGAGGAAATAAAATTAATTTGGATGGGCCAGATGGTTTAGCGTTCTACTGACGTGATTTATGAAAAGAGCCCAAGTACTTTTCTTGAAGAAACTTTGGTTGTGGGAGTGTTATGGTTTGGGGTGCATTTTTACATTGGGAAAATTGGATTTGGCATTCGTTACCTGTTGCATGAACAGTGTCAACTATCAACAAGTTTCGGAGAACAAATTGCTGCCATACAAATGTAGATTCAGAACAATTCCTATTATTTTCCAACAGGACAACGCATCTATCCAAGTGTCACAATACACAAAACAGTGGTTTGAAAAACGGATTGGCCAGTTCATTCTCCTGATTGCAACCCTATAGAAAATGTTTGGGTGATCTTGGTTGGTGGAATTTATGACCAAAATTTTCAGTATATCAATGTTGAACATTTAGATCAAGCAATTGTCACTTGAGGCGTTGATCATAAAAAACCTTTTTGATAGCACGCCAAATCGCATTTTCGATGTTATTAGTAAAAGCAGTAAAGGCAGTGACAAATAAATGACTAAATTAAACTATTTTGTAGTATTTAATGCTTTTTGCATTCATTTGCTGGTTGATTCTATACTTTTGTGGTGCTTAAAATTAGTTTTTTTTTTTTACAATTTCTGCTGTTTACTGCAATATAGAAAACTTATGAGTTTCAACAAATTAAGTTTTCATAAATCCTGAACAATATAAGAAAGGTAGCTACATCATATGTGTAATTCCTAACCTTCATATAGTAAATTTGCAATGGTTCTATACTTTTGTGGAGCATCTTATTATCATATCAAATATATGTTTAGATTTTGTGTCCAGTGTAAGATAAGATCAAACCTTTAATGTCCAGTACAGAATTTTAGAATAAACAAACATTTCTGGCTACTGTTAATAGTTATCAACAGATTACATGTATAAATCCTATAATTCTAGAACATGTTTTCTATATTATTTAAATAATTTGAAAATTTTTTGATAAGACATTAATGACACAGACCATGTTCTAAAATTGTGGAATTTCAACATGTGATCTGATGATGGTTACTAAAAGTAACCTAAAATGTTAATTTTATAAATCATTTGCCAAACATTAAATTTTTAATCTTATATTATCATCATGACCACAATTACTTTTTAATGAAGAAAAAATAAATGCCTATTGTTTAATAATTTTTTTCTAATTACAGTGAAGCATCAAATATCTGGATTTGGCCATCAAAAAATGAATATTAACCTTTCAAAGGTAACTTCATTTTTTGTGCTCTAATATTCATTCAGAATTTGTATATTTTTAAATTTTTAAATTATGATTAGTGTAATTTTTGTTAAAAATATAGTGGTTCTGTAAATTATACTTGGAATCTTTACAAGTATTCCTACATAAATACAACCTCACCGTAAACTGGAAACGTATATTTGCAAATCACATCTAAATTCAAACTTTCCAGCAAATAAAAGTAAAAAAATATAAAGATCAAACATTTTTGGCCACTAAATGATTGTTTTAGTGGCCGAAAACGTTCGATCTTTGTATTTTTTTACTTATTTACTGAAAAATTTGAATTTGGGTGTGATTTGTGAGTATTCCTACATTTCTTGCAGAATACTGGCTTGAAGTTAGAACAACTAAACTTGAATTACAATATTTAAAATTTAAAATTTTAAATATTGTAATTAAATACAAAATTTAAAAATTAAAATGCAGTACTTGGAATTTACAGTACTTAAAGTGATAGTTTTCACATATATTTGAAAATCTGGATGGGTCTGGCCCCAATTAGTTCATATTTTTGATGCTTCATGGTATATTAATGAATTTTTAGCAAATAAATTAACCTGTTGTTTTATTTTGTTTGTGAATTATTAGAATAATTTGCATTATTTTCATGTATCTAATCTGTTTATAAAAGAAAACAAAATAAGTATTTAATGATGATAATTTACATGATTTACAAACAAATATTTTATAAAATATGCTTGTCTAACATATCAAACAGTAACTAATATATCCAAGTAGTTATTTTGTAATTATAAATGAACGTATGTTTTTCTATAAAATTCACGAGAGCTTATTTTACAAATATAATTTTTTTAAATATTGTAAACTTGATAATCCAAACCAATTTTTTTCATTTTTCCACTAAATGTTCACAAAAAACAAAAAATTATAGAATAATTTTTAAAAAATACATCAAACTTGTCTGTAGTCTTTTTGATCCACTTTTCTTTGTGTACAAACCCGCTAATCTGAACAACTCTGTGTAATAATTGGTTTGGATTTATGAGAGTGCACTGTATATTTTTACTGTATAAATAAAATGAGAATTAACAAATAAATTAATATATTCTATAAATATGACAAAATAAATAAATTTTAATTAATTAATTGAGTTAAAAAAACTCAATTAATTAATTACATATAAAATAAAAACTATTTATATTTCTTAATATAGAAATGTGCTTAAATATTCATGTATATGCCAGTATGCTTCATTTCCAAAAATCTTGGAACACGAAGAGTTAAATTGCTTAATTACATATTAAATACAAATACAAATTGCAATTGATATAAATTTCAACTTTTCTAAGAGTCAAATAAGTGAAAAACATTTGATTTTAATGGAAACAATTAGTGTTTAATTCAGATATACTTATTATTTCAGTATAATGTTACATCAATGATATATAATATTAAATATTTGTTATATATAAGAGAAATATAATGTGTATTCAAAATATATCAAATATCCAAAATTAGAATATAGAATGTTGGCAAATTTTATTTGAATCTCCAGCAAAGATTCGTTTTTAATTTATGATACTTTATGGATAGTTGAAAAAAATATCTATAAGATAAATGTGAATATTAATTCCTTGGTCATTAAATGCAATTTGAATTGTTTACAATAAAATGATACAGGATAACATATTTGGATATAGGAGATTTAGATATTGACAACTGCAGATATTATTAGAGATTTCTACACATACATTTATTGGGATAGAAAGAACCTGTTAATTCACAGTCAGCTATAGTTTGGTGGAATTTCTCATTATTCTTTGAAATAAATTCTTAATGAAAACAAAGTTCTATACAGAAAGCATACATTTAAGGTACTCAATAACTGTGATGCAAAATTTTATAACCCATTAATTAGAGATGATTATAATATTCACATATTTAATTGTTGAATTTACTTTTTTGGTTAGTTTCATTAAAAATATATATGTACTGTTTTGTTGTTTACACAAAGTTCTCTGCTTTAGATCAAGATGAAAAATTCATCTAAACTCTAATACATTTTGGTTTTCCAGCTCACCAACACTGTTTGTGACAGAAGTTCAGAGCCGGCCCTACCATTGGGCGAACGGAGCAGCCGCTCTAGGCGCTAAGTCCTAGGGGGCGCCTCAGTGGTAAAGAAAATTAAAGGGTATAAATTAGGGGCAGCCAAGGGGGTGCCATAATAGGATCTCGCTCCATCCTGAAATTCGCCTCGGGCCGGCACTGCAGAAGTTTAATATGGATTCTAACAGCACATGTAAATATATTTTTTATCTTAATCTCCAAAAAACACAGAGAACTGCATTTAAGAAATTTAGAGAAATAAAGATTTTATATTGGAAGAACTTTTTATATATATGTGTAAAACATTATAACTTATTATTGTCATTATAGAAATAATTGTTCTAAAAGGTTACAATGATGTCTGTCTTGTATTTTCTTTAGCTCTTACTTTGATTTTGTATGTACTGTACAAGCTCAGTAGTTTACCTTTGAAATAGGGATAAATGCATAATAAATCCTATCAAGATTTAATTTTCTATTAAATACTGTACCTTATTAACAACGATATAAATTATTTCCAAAAGTCTTTCATTAAAAAGACTGATTCTAGAATTCAGTTATAAAGACTTATTGTTTGAAAATTTTTAATTAAATTAAAATTGATTTTTTAAAGATTAAATACAGTATATTGTAATACTCATTTATCATATGTTCTAATTAAGATCACAACTGTGATTGAACTTGATAATTTCATAAAAGAAAATTGAACTAAGGATTAAAAAATTGTGATGCTAAAATTAAAAATTCAACAGGAAATATTAAAGACCTTTAAAATGCAAAAAAAGCTTGTTTGAATTATTTAAAGTATACAACATGTTTTGATAGAAAATCAATTTTTAAAATTAATTTTTGTTAGAATTTGGCCAGTTAAATTTTATATTATCAAATTTATCACTTTAGGTAGTCTTGTTACAGCTCGTCATAAGTTTAATGAATTTATATTTCATTAATAAATGCTTTAAGAAAAAAATAGATTTATTCATGACTCAAAAATGCAATTTTTACATTTTGGAGGAGCATTTTACAGTTTATGCACAAGGGCTTTTTAAGAAATTTAATTGCATGTGCTGCTTATTATAATGTCAATCAGTGACTCCACATTTGTCCACTGTTTCATAGTTATAAATATAAATCATAAAAAAACAAATAGCACCTGATAATTTTATTAAAATAATTCTATTCATTTTTCTGTTTTTTATTAATATTATCAAGCTAATAGAATGAAAATTTATGAAATGTTATTTGAAAAATTTTAATTTCTTTCCACAAAGAAAGCTTTTTAATATAGTAAAATAAACTAAATATAAATTGCTAATTTATATTAATGCTGCATTTTAAATGGTTAATGTTTTATAGTATATTTAAGATAATTATATCTTTATGATATAATTTATGCTTAATATAGAAATGTGCTTAAATATTCATGTATATGCCAGTATGCTTCATTTCCAAAAATCTTGGAACACGAAGAGTTAAATTGCTTAATTACATATTAAATACAAATACAAATTGCAATTGATATAAATTTCAACTTTTCTAAGAGTCAAATAAGTGAAAAACATTTGATTTTAATGGAAACAATTAGTGTTTAATTCAGATATACTTATTATTTCAGTATAATGTTACATCAATGATATATAATATTAAATATTTGTTATATATAAGAGAAATATAATGTGTATTCAAAATATATCAAATATCCAAAATTAGAATATAGAATGTTGGCAAATTTTATTTGAATCTCCAGCAAAGATTCGTTTTTAATTTATGATACTTTATGGATAGTTGAAAAAAATATCTATAAGATAAATGTGAATATTAATTCCTTGGTCATTAAATGCAATTTGAATTGTTTACAATAAAATGATACAGGATAACATATTTGGATATAGGAGATTTAGATATTGACAACTGCAGATATTATTAGAGATTTCTACACATACATTTATTGGGATAGAAAGAACCTGTTAATTCACAGTCAGCTATAGTTTGGTGGAATTTCTCATTATTCTTTGAAATANTATATGTATATATACAAATTTTGTAATATTTGTTCATTCCTTTCTCTGAGTTGTTAGTTTGAGTAAAAGCTTGTAAAAGATTCCATATTAAAATTTGTTATACATTGTCGTTAGAAATGAACTTAATAACAAAAATAGTGTATTTTGTACCCAACAGTTATTTGGCATGAATTTCGTAGAGACAGCTCCATTTCCGACATTACAAAAACTAGTCGTACAGCAAGATCTGCACAGATAGAGCTTTGTCCGTTCTCCCAGAATGATGCAACCTTCTTCACAACGTTTGCTGCAGTTTCTTTCTACCGACCAAAAGGTGACTGGTTGACCTTCCAGGTTATATTCAAATTTAATAACCTGCTCGATTAAAATAATTTATGGTCGAGAAATAAAAAACGAAAACAAACGATTATCGAAAGTTATTACGACGTAGAAGTCAAAAGAATTATTTGAAATGTTATGTACTTACCGTACAAAATAATTCATTTTCGGAACAAGAACGTTTAAGTGAATGTGAATAATTATTTGGTAAAGTTCTGCAGTTTTCTTTATCGTCTATTGTAGAACGAGAGCTTATTTTACAAATATAATTTTTTTAAATATTGTAATTAAATACAAAATTTAAAAATTAAAATGCAGTACTTGGAATTTACAGTACTTAAAGTGATAGTTTTCACATATATTTGAAAATCTGGATGGGTCTGGCCCCAATTAGTTCATATTTTTGATGCTTCATGGTATATTAATGAATTTTTAGNATATTTATTATAATTAATAAATAAATTCATTTTGTAAAGGAGGTCATATAAAGAATAAATCAGTGTGTAGACAAATTTCAATATCAATTGACCTGTTGAAATAAAAGATTTATTTTGCACATTTGTTTAAGATGAGAATTCTGTATTATCTGTCCATGCACATATTTAACATCATTACCTTTTTGCAGCTGAATATAGCTAATTTTGAATTAATATAATATCAATATACGGTACTTTGATGAAGTGGCAATATTATTAGACAAAAAAAAGAAATGTAATCATTCTGCACGTTTATATTAATCTGATTTTACTACATAAATATTTGATTTCTTCAATTGAAATGTAGACTCAGATGTCCAATGCAAGTATGTGATTTATTGTACATGTAAGGATTTGCAGACACAGTATGCTTGACACTGAACAACTTGCTCACTCATTCAGAGGTATGCTAACTCCACCTGTACCATTGTGTTCCATTGTCAATGTTGTCACTACAGTCTGTGTTTCATTGGAAGGAATTAAATCAGTGGTGCACGCAGACTACGAAAAAGGGGATGGCACAAGCTATAAAAAATGGCATCGTACATTATGCAAGGAGCTTCAAACTCTATGATTCAGTATCAGATCAGTGCTCCCACAAGGTGATGCCAGTTGCACTCTGAGCTAATTTGACCTCGAAAACAAGGAATGAGATTTTGATGAAAATTGTATGGTCAATGGACAAATATTGTTCATTAGTTTCTTTTATATTTACAGAATAGGCTAGAAGCCATGAATTTTCTGTTGTTTGGGGCCCATTTGAGATTAGGAAAAGGGTAATTGAGACAAAAAGAGGAAGCACATGCCCTAAGTGCTCCAATATACAGGCACCCATGAATAAAATATATCTGGCAATCTTTGCACTATGTGTTCTACCAGCTATTAAAATGGTAGAATTCATTTTGGAAGATCATGTATTAGTCTGTGAAAGATGATAATTTTTTTGAGCTAAAATATATATATATATGTTATAGGATTATGTGCTTTTAATTTAAAGAGTAATTAGTAATTTATGTTTGATTCTAAATGGTATTTGAGTTTTTTATAGTTCTTATAAGAATGAAATAATTTTATTTATACAAACTAAGGATTTGCATAGGAATGTTTAAAATTAGAATTTTTGTAAGGATTTTCATCATAAATCTAAAGTGAATGAAAAAATTATATACAGATTTAAGTTGATATGTTCAACATTTTTTATATAAAATCATAAAACACTTCATATTCAATCACGGATCTTATTTAGATGTAATGTCATTGTAACAATTGCACAGACATAGTTAATTCACTGCACGCATGATACTTTTAATTGTATATTTATAAATTTGTTTATAATCACTTTTTATAACAAAAATATATTGGGATAATCAAAGATAAAACTTGACAGAATTCCTCAATTTGCTAAAAAGTGCTGTCTAACTTATCATCAAATTAAATGAAATACATGCTTTTCTTCTTTTTTACCCCTGTTTGTATAGAGAAATGTGTGCTTTGTGAGCCAGCAATTTATTTAAATCAACACAATAAAAACTTTCAGTGAAAAAAATTGTCATCCTAAATTTTGTAGATCAAATCTTGATGATGATGCCATAATTTTGATTTTGGCTTTGGCTTTATTTATAATAGAAAAAAGTGCTATCATCATCAAGATCTGATAAATTTTAAACTGAGATTGTAAATTATAATCATGATAGATTATTCATCGATTGTTGTCAAAAAATTAACCATTTGGGAAATTCATTATTTTTACAGGTAGACTGAGTGGCCGAGTGGATAAAACCACTAATCACTGGTGGTTGTAGTTCATGCTTAACTAATCATGTGGAGTTTTCTGGGTTTTTTCACTTGTCTAACATGTAATAGGGCCAATTTCTCATTAAATATCCTGCCAAGAGGTATCCTCAACAATTGCTAGTGCCTATTATCCCGCAGGCTGGGGATGGGAAATCTTTTTGAGCTTCTTGCCATATAGTAAGCATACTTAGCTTTAATGATATTCATGTGTACAAAAGTTTTAGATTTCAAATAACAATATTTAAAGAAATTAAATGAATTTGCCTTAATAGGACTAAATATAAAAAAGCTGATTGAAAAAAGGATGATTGAAAAAGAGATGATAAATTGAAATTGTATGATACATTTCATGTCAGACGATTTCTCCTTACATACCATTTTGGCACACGTGCCGTAGGTTTGTCACCCCTGCCTTAGGCACGTGCTTCGTGCCTAGGATCTCGGAATCTCTTCAATATAAACGTATACATTATACATATTTAGTGATATTACTGAAATGCAAAATAAAAAATTTTTTCTTTAGAAATTAATTAATGTTCTTTTTGAATTTTCAAAACATGAAAATAAATAAAAAAGAATAATCCAAAAATGTATAAAGGGACTCCCAATCTTCTGTGCCTAAGGACTTCTGAAGATCTTAATCCATAACTGCAGATTGACCCCATATTGCATTACTGTATCCCATCCGCAGGGCTGTTGAAAGAGGCAAAAGGGGTCCACTCGGCAGAGTGGACCCCTTTTGCCTCTTAGTGGAACTTTTAGTCATTTGTTTTTTGTACAAATGAAGATGTATAATGTTTCTATATTAATGAAAAGAAGTCATTAAGATTTTATTTTCTGTTAGTTTAAAAATAACAAATTTATAAGAGTGGGAATCACTTTGGGCCCCTAAGTTTACTCTGGGCCCAGGGAAGAATTCCCAGTTCTCTTTCTTAATGGCCCTTCTCATCAAACCAAACCTATTTTGATAGACATTGATAGTTAACTAGGATTTTTTTAAAATCAAGCATTGCCAAAGATGATGTTGATGGTGTATATGCTGTTTCAACGTTCATTTAGATAAATTTTGAGGAAAGGATAAGTGTAATCGATTGACTTTTCTGCAAATAATGAATTATAAAAGAAAACTAATAAGTTTTCCCAGGTTTAGCATTCTACTTACTTCAAATGACAATAGGAACTACTGATAAATTTTGAGTGTAATCACTAACTGGAGTATGGTTTTCAACAAATAAATATCTATTGCTAGAGTAAAGGAAAGTTGATTTTGTTTTTGTTCAATATTTACACATTCAATTCAACTTTTATTTATTTCAATTACTTAATAGAATTATAATGTACTTTTATAAATATTCAAATGAAATCATAATTGTTAATAGATACCATGGCATCACATATTATAGATTATAACAGACATTTCTTATACTTCAAGTAGATGTAATATGATGTACGAATGTATAGAACATACGAATAAATGTCTTAAACTATGTTCATTAGAATTAAGAAATTTAAGAAAAACGAATAAAATCAATAAGTATTTTGTCAAAACAAAATTATAATAATTAATGGTATTGAAGGAACAATAACGTAGAATTTTTGATTACAGTCGACCCCCCTATAACACTGTTGATAATTCTGAATTCTGTTTTATATGAATTCTATGTTGTATGAGTCACTTAGATTTTACAAATATGTGAGCAGTTCACAGCCCAGCACACGTATTTGTAAAATCTAAGTGACTCTTACAACATGGAATTCATATAAAACGGAATAATCAACAGTATTATAGGGGGTTGACTGTATTTATTTCTGTAGAAATATTGAAATGAAACGTGGCATCTTTTCATAATGACTTTAGAGATGACAAACCATCTCTAGTCCTTCTACAGTAGTAAAGAAAGCCGAATTTGTCACCAGAATGTATAAATTAAATATCTGTGAACAAAAAGAAAGTTAAATCTACTGTAAAATGTTAACAAAACAGTTATTGTAGATGATATTTAGTCAGCATGGATTTAAATGAAGTCCAACGATGTATTATTACAAATAAAGATAAAAAATTCAACTTACCTGGAATTGTACAAAATATAAATGCAAATATATTGACATATTCCAATACAAATCGATGGCCGGTTAGTAAATTATAAATACTCATTTCTACAACGTCATTGCAGGCATGGTTCGGAATATAACAAAGAATAAATTATTATAATACAGTTTCTAATGCCATGTACACAAGAAATAGACGAGAAATATCCGCAAAGTATACAAAATCTATGATAAAACCGAACGAGAGAGTACTCTTCGGCGACGGAAGTGCATCTAAGAAAGCACCAGCTCTGCCCCCTCGCGTCGTTTCAGCGCATACTCTCTGTGTTAGCGTGGAAAGCCACTTTTGCAGGCGTTCTAGATATTAAATTTATTTTAAATTTTCTTATACGTTTAACAATCGCGATTATTTATTGAAAATTGGTAAAAAATGCGTTATTTTTTCAATGATTTTTATGTGATTTTAATACGAAACGTTTGCTGATAGCCTGGTGTTTGTTTTAGTGTCGATACTCGATGTCGCGCAGTGAAAACGACATCTAAGGCTAACGTCGCAAAGTGTTAGAAGTTATATGGAGAATACTGCGATACTCCATGTTAAGGAAGTGCTAAAATTTAGTTAATTTAAAATTCTATAACCAAATAAAACAAATCACCAATCGAGATCTGGAATCGATACGAAACCCATCTCGCGGGCGCACGGAGTAAAAGTCCTTTATCAACGAATATACATTAGTTTAAGTATTTAGTTACAAAACAATCCCTATTGTTTCTGGGGCTTTTAGGGTAGCACGATAACCCGTAATTCCGTCGAAATTACGTAGAATCCGAAGTCATTTTCGCGAATTACTATCGTTTACGTCCATGTTTAATTCGTCATATAACCGATCATTAGACATACAATGATGCGAAGAAACGAAACTTTATATTATATAAAGTAATTTATGTATATAATAATACAGTACTAGAATAAATTGTATGAATTACATATTTTCTACGAACAACAGTTAACAAATTTCTCCTCTAAAAGTTCTCGTAGCTGATTAGCATCGTATAAAATATTGAAAACGAAACTATTGTGAGCAATTGGTGCAATGAGAGTAATGAAAAGATATATATGTGCTGTATTTTAAATTTCTAAAAGTTCTCCAAAGATGGCGCTAACAATCAAAAGTACGTGTAGCGTCATTCGTGCGCGTACCATTTGTGACGTACTGCACGCGCTTTACTATTTATGTCGGTATCGGCTTTACCGAAAGTTTTTCCTTGAAGATGGATTTCGGGAAACGATTGCCGCATAGAAAAACTTTATAATGATGTCACGTGTATTAAAATAGTCTGTTACTACTAAGTTATAGTACATTTTTACTTTCCCAGCTGTTATAACAGGGCGATCGTTCAAAAATGACCCCCCCCCAAGATTTTAACATTTTTGGACTCGGGACACCTCGAAAAGTCGAGAAATGCAAAAATATCCGGGAGTAATTTCTGTATTTATGGATGTTAGTGTGGGGGAGCACGATTTTATTCCCCCTCTTTGAAGAGTAATAACTCCCGCGCTTTTTTGTCGAAAATTTGTGAAATTTTGCGGGGAGGTTTGTTTATTAGGAGGACCGATGCAATTAAATTTTGGTAGTAAAGGGTCGAGTGGTGAGGAGATAATGGGAGTCGCGTATATCTCCGGTAGTCTCGGACTTAACGACGAGCGTACTCTTATTAGCATTTACAATTTCTTATAAAAGTTATCTCTACCCTCAAAATTAAGCTTTTTGCCATTTTATAATAGTTAAAAATATAAAATGTTTTTTTAATAAAATATGACAACAGATGACGCCACCAAAATTTTAAATGTTGTCGGGAAAGTTGAGCAACTCGTTGCTGGTTTACTTAGAAATCGTTTGATTTTGCTACGAAACCGCTAGATGAAATCTTTCTGGCCGCAACACTGCTTTTCTGTTTATCTGATACATAAATTACATAAGATGATTTTCGTCTCCCAGATCATCTATATACAGTAGAGCATCGATTATCCGACCCCCGATTAACCGTCACCTCGGTTAACCGACCGCGTTCTAGTCGGCAAATTCAAATGTCCGCTAGTGATGTGGCGCTACAATATTTGGCTATATCTTGGCTACTTTAATATTATTTTTACGTGTTTTAGCTGGCAACACTGGATCGACCATGAAAGGGAGCCAGTATTTAAACGAGGCTTAATTTTCTAATTTTTAACGATACAATAGCGACGATTATTATTTAAAAAAAAATTTGATAGGCTTAACATGGAGGAAAATTCAACGCGAAGTAGGTTAATAGCGATATACTAATATACTAATTACATGGGATATAATAATATACTACACTAATAATGGATTTTTTCATACTTTTCGGTTATCCGACTTTTCAATTATCCGACCAACCCCAGTCCCCAATTGAGTCGAATAATCGATGCTCTACTGTATATATATAAATGATGATGTTTGTTCGCTATACATTCCTAGGCCGTTCGACCAATTGCTACGAAACTCAGCAGTTACTTTTCTAACTTACATAATGTCGTACATCCCACCCAAAATTATCGATTGGATTTTTATATATCGATTCATTTTTGTTTACATTTGATTGCTGTCTTTACACGTAGCTCCATCTATTGGAAAAAAATTAACAAAATGATTAACTAAATATAATTCTTACAAAAAATGGATATACTGTACTTTTGAAAAATATATATTATATTCACCGAATTACTGCGACAACGATATAGCGCGAAATAAATGCGCCGTTACGCCATTACTGCGACAGGTAGCATATAACACTTGCCTGCGTGGAGTGTAGTAATGTTTTGTCCCCGTACGTCATATTTTTCCCATTAGCAATAGAGTCGTGCCAGTTACGTATCTAACCCCGTACAGGGGTTTGTACCGGTACTTATTTTTGCCGGGACAAAAAATAAATACAGACATCAATAATATCTTATACTAGCAAGCAAACTAGTGTAAGATATATGTATACCGGATATCCGAAGATACTAAATGAATACCAGCGATAATATTCTAAACACCGGGATCGATCTGTAATAAATATGAGTAAGGAAAATTTCTCATTGTCGGGTTTTGAGTAGATGTACAAAATAAGGTGTAAAGGGACAAAGGGCTTAAAAATTGCCAGGAAGAGAATATGAACCTCGAGTTTCTTCCATTAAGCGTTGGCTCGACAGTTGTAATTGGTGTTCCGCTATTGGGCAAGATGGCCGATTTCCAAGAGCGGAATATACGTAATTTTGCTTTGATTTAGGGAAAGACGGGTGCAGAAACTGTCGAAATGACCAAAAAGTCTTTAAAGTCGGTGCCACGATACTTGGAAGATTTCGGAACGGTACAACAGATTTAAACGGTCGACTCTCTATTCTTCCTTTCGGTGCACGCGGGGGAAACAAGTTAATACCTGGAAATGTACGGAGTAAATCTAGAACTAGTTTCTGTAATTGTTAATTTATTACTGTACTGTACTTTCCCGGCTCTGTTATATATAATTATCAGAGGGAAAGTGTGGCCGTCGGTCAAAAAAATGCTCCCCCCAGATTTTTACATTTTTAAACTCGGGAACCTCGAAACGTCGACAAATGCAAACACATTCGGTTTTTTTCCCTGTATGATGGATGTTAGTGTGTGTGACATAATTTTGTTCACCCTCTTTCAAGTTTAATAACTCCTGTGATTTTTGCCAAAATTTTCTAAAATTTTGTAGGGAGGTTTGTGTATTAAGGGATCGATGCTATTATATTTTGGTAGTTAAAGGTCAAAGGGGTGGAGAGATAAAGGGGGTCGTATCATATCTCGAGAAGGATCGGACTTAAATAACAATTTTACTCGTTATTCGCATTTACAACTTTTTATAAAACGCCCTTGTCTTCAAAATTATGTTTTTTGTCATTTTATAATAATGAAAAATGTAAAACCTTTTTCGAATAAGATATCGTAACGGATGACATCAAAAAAAGTTGCCGGAAAAGTTAAGCAACTGGTTACTCCGTAATAATCACTGGGCACAATTTTACACCAAATAAGGAACGATGGCTATCGATTTACGTGGCGTTTCTCCAAAGTTTACTAACTTTCTTTTGTTTCGTTTGTGATTAATTCGAAATACCGAAAGGTAAACGAATGACGTCAAGAATTCAACACACAACCTTGAGCGCGTGCCATCCAATTTGTCCTTATGTGCGGAAAAGTTGTGCTAAGTTCATTACAGTTTTGTGTTTAATTTTATTTTTTACGGCTTTGTTTTCTCGCTCAAAAATGTTTGATACTTTTTTGTTTCGCATTCTTCCTATTTATAATTAATATTTATATTGCAGTATGTCTTATTTAAATATAAACCAAATATTTTGCTAATTTAAATATTTATAATCAGATATTCGGCCAATCTTGACCTTTTCGGCTGCTCGTCTCCCTAATTTTTATAATGCATCCTGGCACTCCGGGATGCGTGCACCGCAATAATTCGCGTAACACCGGCTTACACCAATTATTTTTATTTTAAAATTTACGCGCAACCGATAATTTTCGTAATATTTTATCGTATGTACAGTAATATTTATACCGTATCGAATATAACAGTGTAATATATTTTGTGTTACGACACAGGGGCTTATTTGTTTATTTCTATGTACAGAGAGAAGAGGCGCAATCAGTGATGTCTCTTGGCCTGATCCTCCTCCAATCCGCAGTCGGGTTTATTGTCGCAACAATAGGTACAAGTTTCCTGGGTGGCTCCGTAACTCTTGCTAATGCACGTGTGACCGCAATTGATAGCGCAACGTCGTTCCAGATATAACAGAACACCCATGACTCGAACCACGTCTGCCTGAAAAATAATAATTATCATTAAAAAATAGTTAAAGTTAATTACAATACTAATGCTTTTATTAAATTGTTTGTTACTTGGCAAAAATTAGAATTTGGACTGCACGTGGTTAGGTCTCCGGAATCTTTCCTAGGTATGAAACACGCATCTGTTAAGTTAAAACCGTTAGAAAAGTCTGCTCTGCATACGTAACAGGTGACCGTTCCCGATTTTCTTGTTATTTCTAAAATAAAATGTATAAAAAATTATTTTATTTTTGTATTTTAAGCTAATTTATATATTAATTGCCCGGGTGTTAAAAATGGGTGCGATACAGTTTTGATTGACGTACCGGTACAGTTTCGGAAGTTAACTTATGACGTAACAGTACGATATCGGCAATTAATGTGACGTAACAGTATAGCAACACCACGTCCGCTTACGTAGGAACGAATTGTTTTTCCCTACAATAAACAATATTTAGAACAATAGAGCGTGACCGACAGATATGGCTATTTTGTTTTATTTTTACAAAGTAATTTTTCAGTTTTTTAACTCAAAAATTACCTACGAGTAAAAGATTCGAATAAAGTCGTTTTTTTGTCTCGTTGTTTTAATATAAAAATGGAGCAAATATACGAGACTGGCGGCGATGTCGCGTCGCTTAGATTTTTAAATAATAGAGAAAATAATAATTTAAAATCAATAAGACCGATCGAATTGTGGAAAGAAAACACGAAATATTGAAAATACGTTTAATTCTTTTACGAACGAAACAAGAACTTCAAAATTTTCGTTGGAACAACGAAATTTCTTTACTTTATATATATATATAAAGAAAACTGTTTAATATATTTTTTAAACAGTTTTCATTAATTTTAAAACAAAAATAGTGATGTTCAGTTGTATACAAATGGCATACTTAAGCCTACGTTCAATTGTACATAAAATAGAAGGTATCAGCATCTACGTACATCAATTAACTTTAAGACAAGAAAATTTATTTTAGTATCTAGTAACGTAGTTCCATGAAAATTTTTGAATTTCAATAGAGGCACCCATCATCGCCTGTCATTTACTCGTAAGATCGCGTGTCCGATTATTTCTATAGAAACTTCCGTCCGTCGACAGTTTCCTTTTTATATCGAAATACAGAAAGCGGTAGAACAATCGGGACCGGAAGCCGCTTTATCGGACCAATTATTGTCGGATACAAAAGGATCTAAAGCGAGAAAGAGGTTCGTTTTGTTAACGTCACAATTCTGGTTTCTGTCGGGATGCTTTGTTAATTGTTATCGATCGATGTCTTTATCCCAATTAACAATCTTCCATTGAATTAAAAACGTATAAACACACGAAGTATTCTTCTCGATGACTTCATACAATCGGAATTACGAAACGGTAGACAGAAGGAGGAGTTAGGACTATTATTTTCTTATTTATAGATTCGGTTGTAACGAAAGTCTCATCGAACAAAAACTAACAATTGATAATTTATGAAAATTTCTTCTTACATTCGCTCTAGATTTTATATTTTGAAAAACGTTAACTGGATTTTCCTCGTGTACACTGATGTGTTAACATTCCAGATTGATCGACTCATTCATCGTTACCTCGTTAACTTTATGCCGAAGGGATAAGCGACAAAGAAGAAAGCGCCAACACACTCCTTACCGATTCGCGCCACTTCGAGGAACCAATACATTTGAATATGACTAACGACGAGATTAAAATGGATCGGGAATAGGTCGTATACGTTTTAAGATGCCGTCGATCGACCTCTTTAAGATTCGTTTTAAGTCATTCGCCTTCCCGGGATCGACGATCGATCCCTCTCGTCCGACGATGGCGATTTTGATAAAAAAGGAGCAAAAATTTTGGCATTACGAAAATGCACATCGTCATCAATTTCTAAATTCTTTCGCTCACTTTTAGCAGCGAATATTTCACGCGCTTTTCTAACATCATTTCCTATCGATTCTATCAAAAAGAGCAGTTTAATTATGCACCTAGTTACGCAATTAAACCGCTCTTACGTTCAGCTGAAGGAAGTTATGTTATTTTTTAACGGGTGAGCAGATATTTAACCAATTAACTACGTAAAATGTACACGAAAGGAAAAATCTAAAGAACAGGACCGAGACACGACACGGTCAACAACGAGTATGGCTGCGTTCGGAAGGGTTCTTGTCGTTACGTTACCTGTGGACAGTGCCGTAACTAGGCAGGTGCAACAGGTGCGCCCGCACAGGGCCCACTTGGAAGGATGCCCAAAATGCATATATTCGTTTTATTATTTTCCCAAACCTAATTAATTAAGAAGTCTAAGTGCAAATTCTTGCGTAGGGCACGGGAACGGCTAGTTATGGCACTGTCTCTGGCCAATTAAAGAAGGCGTTATTTGTAAGCCTTAATTGACGTTTCCAGCCAGTTAATTAACGTAAGAAGAGCCTATCTGCTCGGAGGATGACGAGAAGCGAAAGAGCTCCAAATTAATGCGAAGATGGAGGGAATTATCACGTTATGTAAAAGTGATACGAGTGACGTATCTATTAAATAAAATGCGATTTATTTAGTAGAAACTGCTAAATGCTCCGCAGGCCTCGAAAGAATAGAAATCCCCTCGCAGCATTCGGATTCCACGCGAGAGATTAACACGCTCCTACCGTACGATTAGAGAAAGAATTTCAGATGCAATCTCTTCATCTTTAGTGAATTTTCTACATTTAAATCTCTTCACTCGGATACTAATTTCATTAATTGAATAATTTGAAACTTTAGACGAAGATAAACAGAAGCTGAAATCATCGGATTTCTATAAAAATGTTTAAGAATTTTTTAAAAAGCCCTTCTTTTTTTCTCTTCTTTCTCCATTTAAAAGTATCTCGCGCGTACTTTATTCCACCCGAACCAACTCTATTCAGATAGAAATAACCTAATGAAAAGCAGTAATTTAGACATCGCCTATGAAAAAATTCGCGTTTTCTCTAATCTTTTTAATATATTTTAATAGAAACATACATTATTTTGTCGCAGATAAATTTTTCGCGTTATTGTGGTGGAGCATGCAAATTAGGCGAAGCAAAATGACTCGAATTTATAATTATTAGGAAACGACTTGTACATTTTTATCGCTCTTACCTACCGCCTAATTTGATTTGAACTAATTACAACGAATAGAATTTCGAAAATTTCATTTAATTAATTGAATTAAAATTTTTATTAAGCGCGTAAAACGCAAAAAAAGAAAGTTAAGTATCGATTTAAAATGCGCAGATATTTCTCGCGAATTTATTAAGTTTATTTTTACGTATTTACGATAATTAAGAAGCCGTACGTCTACGCGAGTATGTAAATACATTTCACAGAATCGTTTAAATTCGCTATTCATCGTCTCGAGCGATCTTAAATTTCGAGATTTTACATTAAATTTTCAAAATAGATGTCAAATAATTTTAAAAATTGCTTAAATATTTCACGAATAGACAGAAAACGTCGAACTTTAACGCAGAGAAGATGCGGATTTCTCTTAATTCGCATTATAAGTAATTTTAAGATATTTCGTGTTAAATAAATAAGTTTATATCAAATACAATATACGAAATTCGTTTTTTAATAGATTTTATACGATACTAAACAACTTACCCGCAGATTTGCCACGCGGAATGCACGCAGAAATCAGGAGAAAAATTTGTAAGGACCAATTCATGGCGGAAGAGAAGAGAGAGTAATTTTCGGTGGTTACGTTTTGAATGGTAGTTATACTCGTTTTTCGCTAGATGGCGATATAAAGATGTGACGGATCGACGCGATTGGTTACGATACTACTCGCGAACACGTGTGGCGAACCCCTCTTTAATTTTACGCATCTTCGATTTAATAATAAATTACACAAGTGGAGAAAGTATATTTATACAGTATGATAGAACTTTTTACTTTAAATTATCTTCCACTTCAATTTTACAGCCGATTTTTGCCTTTTATTATACTAAAAACGGTAATAATTAAGCAAAACTTAACTAAGTTTTAGTAGATTCTTTATTTCATTTCTTAACCTTCGGCTTCTCCGTAAGCATTCTTTATCGGACGGAGAAGCCTCTACGGGGGCATCTTTTCCGCATCGAAGACCGAAATCGCCAACTTTTACGCTCGACAATAAATAAATAAAAATTTCGAAGAAAAAATAAAGTTAAGATATAAATTTACTTTTAAATTTAAAAAATTAGAAGTAAAACCACGTATAAAGACCTTCGAGCTCGAACTTTACCGAAACTCTTCGATAATTCAAAATTAAACTTCTCTATTTTTTAAAATAATATAATATTTTTGGATGTAAATATTACGGAATAAAACAATTATTTTAATCCGTATAAAAGATTTTTCCTCTTAAAGGAGGGAGAAGATTTTCGCACGATTAATGGCATCGGCGGCATTAAAGTCTTTAAGCGTAAAAAAACAAACAAACGAAAACGCCAAGAACGGGCCACAAATTTTAAATTTTTTGAACGTTTAAAAATGGTGTATCTTCGAACGTCGTCGTCATCGTTTTAACGCTAACAAAATGGCTCTTAACGACACGTCGTACTATAAAAAGAGAGATTTCGATCGGCGCATTTTGCGGGTGTAATTGTTGACGTACACTTAAAAGATTGAAATAAAAACGTTACTACAAAACGTTTTTCAAAGTGGAAGCGATGATCCGTTTATCCGGCGCAACGATACTTAGAAAGTTACTCACGTGTTACGCGATCCGCATCGAGATTTAAATCTTTCATTTTATGGGCCTTTATCTCTTTCGCGTGACGATTTAACCAATAATTTATACTGTAGTTAACAACTGGGATGTACGCGTGACTTTTCTTTTTATTCTAATTTCGGAATATCTCGTAGCAGAAAATAAATATATTATTATATAAATATTAAATTTATTAACAAGGGATAGCAATACGAAACAAATTTCAACGCGGGGCGGCTCAAAAGTAAGTTAACCGGTAAATATTTCCCAAATGTACTCGGAAATATTCGACGTCGCGTGGACGTCACGACGATATTCTTACGCAAGCGTGTCGTAATATTTGGTAGTTATGGCAACGGACTAGTCTAGAAGAGATGGAAATATGTGTTATTTATAATTCTATTCGATTATAATTTAAAATGAGCGTACGAGAAGATCTATGAATAATAAACTAAAAAAAGAAATTAAAATGTATTTCATAAACTTATAGAATTTTATTGAAGTCGCGTCAAAGTTTTATTTCTAAATTCCCATCCTACCTTAAAAATATTAGGAATTGTCTAGTTGCTTAGAAACTCGAGTTCTTATTGGATGCGCGCGTATCCGACGACGCCATCGCGTAGCAACCGAATAGTTCTCGTTAAACTTCGGGGAGGTGGGGTACAATCGACTTTCGATACATCGAATTAATTGTTTTTTAATTAAATGAAATTTATCTAAAAAAGTTAAACGCATACATTAGCGAGTCGAGTATCGTAATTAATTTTAAATTATTCAAATTAACGAAAGTGTTTAAGATAATCTAGAAAATTCTACGCGGTTAAACACGCCGGAATAGATTAAAGCAATAATCTTTAAGTTTGTCTGGCAGATTATCCCTCGGACTACTTCGATAATTCAAAATTAAACTTCTCTATTTTTTTTAAAATAATATAATATTTTTGGATGTAATAGAATAAAACAATTATTTTAATCCGTATANCGATCAGAATTGTTAAAAATTAATAACAAAATTATCAAATTTTCTAAGAGTAATTTCCCATGGTGTTATTTAAAAATTAATTTCAAAATTCCATATGTTTTGTGGCGGTAAAGACTCAAAGGAGCTAGTACAGAGTTTTGATCTATACCTTTCACCTAAAAGTACTAACGAAAAAAGCTAAGTATGTAGTAGTCCATATAGTCAAGATCGATACAATTTATAGACAATACAAATATGATTGCAAACTCAAGTTGATGTAATAATTTTAATATCTAAACAATAATAGGAATTTAATTATATTGTACACGTGTAAAGTAAAAATGCTTTCATTGTAGCACAAATTGATCCTCTCTAGAGGGTATTTTCCAAGTTGTACTTTAAACTTATCAGTCCATGTGATAGAGATATTGGTTTAACTCGGGTTGATGAAGATGTAATTTTTAGCAATAGTAAGATTTGATTGTTACTAATATACATCCCTTGTAACAGGCCACGGCCTTAATACGAATAAAAAAACTTGATTGATTACTATATAATTTTTTTTAATTTCAAACCTTTTTACATTATAATAAAATCTTTAAAATATATAAGATTAACTTACACATTCAAAATATATTTCCATTCTGAATTGACATCTTGAAAAGATTCTGGTATATTTTCAAAAACATCTTTTTCTACCATATCCCAATTAATTCTTTTTTCAGTAATTAAATCTAAAATCGGTTTTATGTGAGTAATATTCATAATGATTTTATAAAATTCTTTCCAAGATGGTTTAAAATTTTCATCAGTCAAAAACATTTGTAACAATTTATTTGTTTCATCCCAAGTATTTTTATCCTTAGTTAAATTACACATTAATTCCTGGATAGTACTTTTATTTAAATGATTGCACAACATGGAATATGTAAGATGAACATAAGATACTCCATATCCTAAAGGAAGGTATAACAAAACGTTGGGCTTCTTAATAGTTACACCAATATTTTTGAACATATTAATCCATGTTGTTTGATTATTCCAATTTTTGCTTTTTACAATAACTTTCTGGCTTACTAAATTTCCAGAATATTTTATAGAATTACTGAAATCTTATTTAAATTTTAGATAAAAGTCAAGTTACTTGGCTTTTATCTAGAAAAATATAATTTTCCAGAGACTAGCTTTAAAAGTTTAGATAATTAACCTTTGACCCGGGAGATCGTATCGCAAACTCCAGAGCTTAATCGGTTTAGAAGTTTGAAAGGGATCGATTTGGTTCTAGACCAGAATTGATCAGTTTCGGACTTCCAGATCAATTATTTTCTGGAATTTCACCCGTCGAGAGTAACAAACGAATTTCTCGTGCCTACAATCGCACAGTTACGTATTTACCTTCGATGCAGTTCGTCACGTTGGCCTGGTTTAGTGGAAGAGATGCGAACGAAACGGCTCGTATTTGTTCGTCGATGGCGGAAACAACGAAAGGATCTCTTTTTTAACAACTAAACTATTAGTTCGTGACCCAATTCTTGCACAGGAAAAGTAAAAACTCTTAATCGTCTAGAAAATTATTTATAGGCTCGAATCAAATAAACACCAGATGTTTAAAAAAGCACAAAAATTGATTAAATTACGTAAAAATTGATTTGCGAATCGGATAAATTAAGCGGATGCTAAATAAAGGAGAAGGAAGATTTCGGTTTAAAAAATCAAAAGAAAGTAAACGTAATTAAATATAAATAGAGATTAGCTTAATTAAGATTTGGAATATTTAAAAATTTAATTATTTTTTAATTAAACAAACAAAAAAAGACGAGAAGTTAAACAAATTTGCTTACACATTAAAATCGAGTTGAAGTTAATAAACGTAACGTTAGGCATTAAAATATAGGAATAAATGCGTAAAGGTATTTTAGAAAACAATAAATAATACTTTAACACTTATTTTACGGCGTAAAATCGAGAATGCTTTACTCAATGGTGCATAATACAAGTTTTTATACAATTATATCGTTATACATCAGCGAAAAATTACATTAACGAGTTTATCCTTTGACTAATGCGTTACGTTATCAAAATTAAAAAAATCGTCACGTATATTGTCAATATTACATTTTATTAGTCGTTAATTTAAAAAAGAATAATATTAAATGTCATTAGGCGAGATGGGATTTTTTGTTTAAGACCAGAAGGGATTGATCAGGGTGACTGTACTTGTCCCAAAACGCATAAACTAGATTCGGTTTTTTTGCACGCTCCATGTCATTGTTTGTTAGTTGGATGTCTCGCTTCATCGAATAGTTACGCAGATTCCAAAAAGTATATTGTTTCCTCGGGTTTTGGTCGACGATCCGTCTAAATCTGTACCACGTACACGATAATAAAATTCTAGCACCGGGTACGATCTCTTCCCGATTTTACCGATAAGATGCTTGCGAGAAGATATTTAAAGGCAGAGTCGACTCGGGCTTATCACTTCATGTGGAAAGTACAGGTGGAAAGAGTAATCCAGAGGCAAAGATGTTAATTCTGACGCCTCGTTGGGTGAGTAGAATAACGTTTAACGCGGGTTTTCCATAACAGAAATGCTTAATTCCCTTCCTATTGTGATTTCTTAGGAGTGTTTGGCTCTACTTTTGGGTGTTTCGCTTTGTTTGGCTAACGGCAAAGTCGTTCCCGATAAGACGGAAGATGCTGGCGACAAAGAAGTGCAAGTATTTGGAGATTTAGAAGTTGCGGAAAGCGGACATCACAAGCATCACGAAGAAAAGCACGGAGGTCACGAAGGAAAATGGAGCAAAGGAGGAAAACATCACGGTTCTCACGGAAAGGGGCATAAACATCACGAAGACGATTGGGGACACTGGGGAAAATTCGGAAAGCACGACAAACACGGTAAAGGCGATCACCATCACGACAAGTTTCATAAAGAACACGAGGGTCACCACGAAGGCGGACACCATCACGAAGGTAAGCACGGATTCGAACAACATCACGGACATGGACACCACGGACATAAGGTCGGGGATCACCATCACAAAGACAGGGGACACAAAAAGCACGGTTTTAAGAATTATTATCACAAGGAAGAGCACGGAGATCATAAATCGTACCACGACGAACACAACGATGGCAAACATCATAAAAGTCATAAGGATCATCACGAAGAACACAAACATCACGGAGAAAAGCATCACAAACATCATCACGGAAAAGGACACCACGACAAGAAAGAACACGGACATCACCACCATCATCACGGAAAAGGCGGCCATCATAAACACCACGGAGAAGACCATAAAGAAGGCGGAAAACATCACAAAGAACATCACGGCCACAAACACCACGGAGGACAACACCACCACGAAGAGCATAAACAAGGTGGCCATAAAAGTCATCATAGTCATCATCACGGTGGAGGAGGCGGCGGCGGCGGAGGACATCATCACGGAGGTGGTGGCGGCGGAGGTGGCCATGGCCATCACGGAGGAGGAGGTGGTGGAGGCGGACATCACCACGGAGGTGGAGGTGGAGGTGGACACCATTACGGTGGACATCACGGAGGAGGTGGAGGCGGACACGATTACGGTGGACATCACCACGGAGGAGGAGGTGGAGGCGGACATCACGGAGGAGGTGGTGGAGGCGGACACCATTACGGTGGACATCATGGAGGAGGTGGTGGAGGCGGACACCATTACGGTGGACATCACGGAGGAGGTGGGGGAGGCGGACACGATTACGGTGGACATCACGGAGGAGGAGGTGGAGGCGGCCATCACGGAGGGGGTGGTGGAGGCGGACATCACCACGGAGGTGGAGGTGGAGGTGGACACCATTACGGTGGACATCACGGAGGAGGTGGGGGAGGCAAACATGATTACGGTGGACATCACCACGGAGGCGGAGGTGGAGGCGAACATCACGGAGGTGGTGGAGGCGGACACGATTATGGTGGACACCATGGAGGCGGAGGTGGTGGAGGAGGACACCATCACGGAGGCGGCGGACACCACCACGGAGGTGGAGGAGACGGTGGATATCATCATCACGAGAGCAAGCACGAGCACCATTATTACGACGGTAAAGGTCATCATCATCATCATAGTAGCAGCGGACATCACGGTTAGCTTTATCAATAAAATTGTGAAATGTGGAAACTACTCGAAGTCACCGTCTGCCATTAAAAAGATGGCGGCGAATAACTTTTGCTTAAATGATAAATTCGAGTATTTTAAGCATCTTTTTTTTTGCTTAAAATATTTAACAGTAATTTACGCGAAAAAATTTTGTATTATTTTATAGGAATTTATATTTGAATATTTTTTTATAATCGCTTGTATTATGTTGCGTGATAATAAATTGTTTATATTTGTTAAATTCAATTGCTTTTGTTCGTTTGACACAAACCTGGAATGGACAATAGAAAGTAGTTTAACAAAAAAAAAA